AGCATCAAATAGGAAAACTTCATTGCAATAATTGCATGCAATCATGCCTCATGGAGACATGGACTACCGGTAGTTGATGGTTTTACGCAGGTCTAGAATTTCATGGTCACTACTATGACAATGACTATGAATTTCATGGTCACTGCATCATTTCTACATGCGTACAGGCACAGCAAGATAATTATCAAAACTTACCTACTTGACCAACGTTCTGTTTGAAAATTTTGAAGTGGCACGGTCATTAAGAAGTCATCTAAGTTCTTCGATACATCCTCCAGTGGTGAGTGAAGAACTTATTTAATCGTTTGCTTCTCGTTAATTCAATAATAGTTAACCTATACAGCTGTCGACTTAGTATTCATAACATTACCTACTTCACTCTTTAATTACAAAATTTGTGTATAGGTATCATCTTACTTAAATTTAACAAAGGTCTGAGACAAACGAACAGCGTCCGAGATGACAGTTACACACAAGCGGCAATGCACGCCTCTACCTTCCCTTGCGAAGCCCCGTGGCCAACTGAGGGCACATCCGGCTCCGGGTCTACCGTCTAGCATCTCACTATAAGCACCGGAATTTAAGTGATCAGTAACTTTGTAACTGCTTTTAAACTTTTAATAGTAACACTTTTTAAGTCAGAAGTCCTGCAAGTTGTAGATTTTTTACCTTCACGAACATTTTATTTCAGTTGGCTTTTTTTCAAAATATGTTCAAAATTGCATACTCTTTATTAATAGTCTACTAAAAAAAGGTTTTTCGAGTAGACAGACCACGAAATAAATTACTTTTCAAGCCATTTGTCAACGGCACAACTAGCTAACTTTTAGGCCACATGGCATTACCGACTTATTAATAAGATAGATTAAGATCATTGTAAGTATCAGGCCATTTCTAATTTACGTTAGGGTAATATTTAAATTCGGCGTCATAATCTGAATCCACATGATCAAACTTCACAAAGGCCACTCCTACTTGGCCGCCAGCGCCGCAGTTTCGGTTGGGGAGACCATGGTTGAATTGATTCAACCATGGTGAATTAATTCAACCATGGGGAGACTATCCGATCCACCCGAGTTAACAGCAATACTATCGAGACTACCACAGTCTCGATAGATAGACAGTCGTATGTGCTTCATTCGTCAGTCGTCTATGATTCAACCGTCAGTCGCCTGTGAAGGCTGTGATCCTACCGCCAGTCGTCTGTGATTCTACCGTCAGTCGTCTGGGATTCTACCGTCAGTCGTCTGTGATTGAATCTGACGAATCACAGACGACTGACGGTAGAATCAGTGCCACTGATTCTATCGTCAGTCGTCTGTGATTCTATCGTCAGTCGTCTGTGATTCTATCGTCAGTCGTCTGTGATTCTATCGTCAGTCGTCTGTGATTCTATCGTCAGTCGTCTGTGATTCCACCCTCGATCGTCAGTGATTCTACCGTCAGTCGCCTTTGATGCTACCGTCAGTCGCCTTTAATACAACCGTCAGACGTCAGTGATTCTACCGTCGGCTATCTTCACTCATTCCCCCTCAGGGGGGACTTCTGACGCGTGTCTGTGCTCGTCAGAAGTCTTATGGGATTTCGCGCTCCCAGGGGGATTGTTCCTGAGCGCCCCACCGTTGAGCTCGCGGTGTCTGACTGCAGGTCTCAGTTGTGGGGTTAAGTTATTATGTAGGCAGGATTCCTTATATTTCCCTTCTCTGTCTCTCTCGTGCGGGCGGCCGACGTCCCGTGTAAGCGACCTCTTGTTCGAGTGTCTTCGTTTCTGTTGCTTTTCACCTGTCCCTCCTTGTCACTTCGTCTCTTTGAGATGCTAACGCTGCTTCTTTCGAGCCAGCTTCAGCGGGCTGGACATCTGAGACCTTCCGCCCCTTGTGGGTGATGAATAATTGAGACCTTCCACCTCTATGGTGATGTTCATCTTGACTTTCGGTGCGAGATAGCTTAATAGCTGAAGCGCTACTAACCATTTGGCCACTAAACTAACTAACTAACTTCACTCATTAACAGGACTTTGCTTCGTTCCGTCGCCGGTGTATTGTAGTTGTACTGTAGCTGCAAGGTACAGGGATGAGGCATCAGATGGTAATGGTTGCGGGCGATATCGGAGGTGCAGGGGTCACGGGATGCAATAGATGTGCAGGTGTCACGGGAGGTAATAGAAGTGCAGGTGTCACGGGATGCAACAGAAGTGCAGGTGTCACGGGAGGTAACAGAAGTGCAGGTGTCACGGGAGGCAACAGATGTGCAGGTAGCACGGGTGGCAATAGACGTGCAGGTAGCAGGGGGTGGCAATAGATGTGCAGGTAGCAGGGGTGGCAACAGACGTGCAGGTGCAGGGGGTGGCAATAGATGTGCAGGTAGCAGGGGTGGCAACAGACGTGCAGGTAGGGGTGGCAATAGATGTGCAGGTAGCAGGGGTGGCAATAGATGTGCAGGTAGCAGGGGTGGCAACAGACGTGCAGGTAGAAGGGGTGGCAACAGACGTGCAGGTAGAAGGGGTGGCAACAGACGTGCAGGTAACAGGGGTGGCAACCGACGTGCAGATAGCAGAGGTGGCAACAGAAACGCAGGTGGCAGGAATGGCAGCAGCAGTACAGTTGTGAGTGGTGGAAACTGTAGCGAAGGTGACAGTAAAAATGTAGTTGGCAGAAATGTCAGCGTAAGCGCAGGTGCCACTGGAAGTGCACGTGGTTGCCAAGAAGCGTTGGTTCAGGTGGTGTGCGAACGACGCGCGTTTGCTCAGGTGCCACCCGCCCGGAGCTCAGCTGCAATTCGGACGTCTCGTCTCTACTGCACGAGCTGATGAAACGCAGCTGTAGCGTTCACAACTGTACGACGCTATACTGCGATTCACCGGATATGCCAAATTCGCCATATTTATACTTTCACTGTCATTGTCGTCGTCGTTAGTTAGCTACTGTAAGCTCATTGAGTTCAAGTAAACATTAGCAAATTAAAGTCATGTTTGTGCCTCAGAAAATTTTCTGCGAAAGCACCAAAATGGGTCGGTTAGGACCGTGATCGCTAACGCTGTATGGTCGTTGGAGTCGGTAGAAATATCCGAAATAGTTACTGAACCTTTTAACTATGTTAACTTGTTGCTATGTCAGTCTAGAAAGGAAACAATGATCTAAGATTGAAGTGTAGTTTAAGACTTCGTTTTCACTATTTAGAGGCTATCATCCACGCATCGTTGTTTAGTCATGTCACGTTTAGCTTCTACACGTTTGATTTGAGATTACCGATAAAGATTTCATTCGATAATTTCAGATCATGCAAACGTGTTATATTAGTTCAGTAAATTAGAATCATGCTGTTGCACATTAGTCGGCTTAATTAAGCCGTTGTGAATCGCCCACGTTGAATAGTAAATAACGTCTCGGACAATTGTACAGCCGTACTCGCGGCCGGTCAACTAAATTCGATGATCAAGGAATATCTCACGAACTAATGAACGCAGCTCAATGAAACTTGGTACACTTATTCATTAGGACCTAACGGTGATGTCCAGCTCGTAAAATTTTTCACCATTTCGCCTTCATTCGTGAGTTATATGGCGATACGGGCTGAAATTTGCAGTGATCAAGGAATTTCTTTCAAACTACTGAACAGATTTGAACAAAAAATTGTATTTAAAACCTAACCTCTCAACGGTGTTGCATAGCTCGTGACAAGTTTTTTTTTCGATTTTGCCTTCGTTCGCAAGTTATAGGGATACACGGAGCAACTTTCGGCATTTCTGAGACCGATCTGTAAATTTGCGTTGACCAAGAGCAGTGTACTTATAGCCGTATAACTCGCAAACGAAGGCAAAATCGAAAAAAATTTACGAGCTAAACATCTCCGTTAGAAATTTAGGTATTTATATGTACAAAGTTTCGTTCAAATCTTTTCTGTAGTGTAGAAGAAATTTTTTGATCGCTGCGAATTTAAGCACATATTGCTGTTTAAAACACGAATGAAGATGAAAAAAAAAAAACTGGCGAACGAAGGCAAAATTGAAAAAAAATTTACCAAGCTAAACTTCACCGTTTGGTAGTTAGGAATGTATAGTAAAAATTTCGTTCAAATTCTGTTTAGTACTTTGGAAGAAATTCCAAATTCCACATTGATCTTGGAAGTACTTTGGAAGAAAGAAGATCACTGTGAATTTCGGCCCGTATCGCTATAGAACTCACGAATGAAGACGAATTAAAAAAATTTCACGAGCTAACCATCACCGTTAGGTCCTAATTATTACGTGTACCGAGTTTCATCGAGCTTAGTTCATTAGTTTGGGAGATACTCCTTGATCATTGAATTGGAAGATTGACCATAACTGAGCGCAAGGCCGGTCACGAGTCCGATTCGGTTCACGAGTCCAGCCGTAAATTTGTCCGAGAAGTTCGTAAATGGGAGAAAGGGAGGCGTGTTCATTGGTTAGGTTGAATCTTTAATTAATGTTATTAATACATATACCATAGAAATAACTACAGATTGCAATGAAGTACAATGCAGTGAGGTATTTAATACGGATTAATTATCTACTTAGAATTTTTCAGATCGCTAAATATAATTCAACCTACGCATAATACATATATATTAATTGGGTAATTATCACACGATAAAAATCCCTCTTCACTATTTAAAAATAGCCAGAATAAATTTTTCAAATGAATTTAAAATAGGTATGTTTACCCTAGAAACTCATTTTCTTTCAAACATTCAGAATTATACATACATGGATGCCTGATTCATTTTAAGTAATTTAAGCTAGCATTTGGGATAATAAATACATTTAAGCACAGATAACCTAACTCAACTTGTTGGAAGAATTCTGTTCATCCAGAATAATTTACATACAAAATTGGGTAATGCCTAATTTCAGTGTTGTAAATTTCGAACCGTTTCTTTGTAAGTGATATGATTAAGAAGTTATGGCTATTATTTTAACTTGACTCAAATCAAGTGTTATGTTGTTAATATAACGCATATTTTTATCAATGCCTTTTCAGTCGGAAATGGCAGTTGGGTAGTGAGAACACCGACAAGAAGGGGAATTGGGAGTACGAAGTGACGTCATACGAAGCTATGGCCGGTGACTGGCTGTTCGGGCTGAACGTAAACCGCGGCCGAGTGAGCGTCACTGCCGACGATCCGCCGCGCCGGTACTCGATCGAGTCCGTCTTCAAGACGGAGTCTTTCCGCGGCCTTTTCCTGGGTAAGTGATTCTTGCAATTAGTCAAGGAAAATCAGCGTTTTCGAACAACTATATTTTTATGCTAAAGTGTAATTCAAGTAGAAATCTTGAAGGGTTAATTATCTGTTATGTTAACAAGTGCACATATCATATTGGATCGGAAAATCTTAAACTAGATTTTTCTGTAACATTTAGCATATATTTTGAAATTGATAAAATTAATAGGTTAGGTAAATTTTGAATATTGAACAGCATTTCTAGAATTCCACCCTGTATTGTTGTAAATTATGTATTGAGTTTTATTGGGATGACATTTCGTGTTTCTGTGCAGTGGACAACGCAAGCAAAGTGACCATTGAGCGCAAGCAGCGCGATGGTGAGACTGGCGCGTTGGTAGCCGAAGTTGTGAGCATGAACTGTCCGTTGCTGTTCTCGCAGCTATGTTACGCAGAGACCGACGCCAACAGGAAAGATTTTATAAAGAACGTCAAGTATTATTTCGACGTGTAATGCTGGAGCCAACAGTGATGTCATCAGCTGTGAAATAGTGGTGGTGAAATGAGATTGAACGTTCACGGCTCTTTTTTATGGTTACTCAAAATCTTCCTCAAGAGTATTTTTATCGTGCGATTTGAGGTTTCAATTTAGTGCCATAATCTTAACTATTTCTCTTAACCTTAACCATTTCATAAATACAGATGAATGAATTCAGGCTAGCGTAATTAGGGGCATACATTTTCTTAATAGTAATGCCTCCAATAGTGGAGAATTATTATAGAGAAAAATAAAGAATTGATAAGATAAAATTATATTGCAAGATAAATATAATTTTTAAAATGACATAGTTTTCGTCATCATTTCACAATTGTGCATTTTTCGTCGTAGCACAATTATAAAAAGCGCCTTAAAACTAAGAATTCCTCGCAAAATTCCCTTCTGAAGATATTTCACCACTGGTGATATTCATCCACTGCTCAGTGGGATATGAATACATGTCTTAAATCATTTCTCATAGTCTTTGCTAAAACATTACTTAATTTCTGCCTTTATCAGAAAATTTAAAGCATGTGCACTTTACACAGTGACATAAAAATCTATGATATAGTTATTAGATTTGGATTTATTATACAATTTATTAGAATTATTTTACAATTTGGATAGCACTGCATGTGTTTAGCAAATGGTAGCTCATTCCATGTTAGTTTATTTATACCAAATTCAACATTTTTTCAGCTGCGTTTTTCACGGGTACAAGAAGCAAATGTTTTAATGTTTCTTATCCGTTGAAACATATTTATATACTTATTAAGTTTAAAAAATATTTTTCAGTAGTATTTAAATAACTGCACAAATATTTTTTTCTTGGTAACATAAATTTTATCAGTAGTTCAGATTTAATTGAAGATGATCTGAGCATATTGATCTCAGGCGTAACGGTGCCGCTGTGATACCGGCATAGTCTCAAGGCTTAATAATTGATCCATCTTTCTTCCTATACTTATAATAAACTCTGTCTGATATAAATATTTGAATAATGATAAGAATAAATTGAAAATTTCCACTCCTTTGTTTAATTTTGGCGAAAATTTACAGGCTTGATGTTTTTGCCTTCATATCGTATTAGCAATCTTGCAGGTTTTAATGTATAGTACTCAAATTGACCCGGTTGCGAGTAGGGTAGTTTAGTACTCATATATGCTTGATTGCGAGTATTTTCAACTAACGAGACTATAATTAACTCTATACGTAAATTAAATCAAATTCCTAATTTTGCCCTCCAAAATTATTTATTTGCAATTCGAATTGATTAGCTAAATTGTGTAAGACTTGTCAATAAAAAATACTCATGAGTTGAATTTTGCTCCAAGATTTATATGGCTTACATATTCAATTTTTAATTTTTCGGATTGAAAGGTAACATCTTGATTTGTATCTACAATTTTTTACAATTATCGCATTTCGAGCCTCAATTTTGTGAAAGAACATCATACTAAGCAGCCAAGCCAATATTAGTTTTGACTACAATATTCTTCAGCTCACATGTTGGTTTTGATCGAAGAAATTTCAGAATTCGTGCTCCGAGTAATGTTAAGAAATATCTTCCCTCATACATAGTGGCTACTTTTGCATGCTTTCCAAAGGAATTGACCAAACAAGCTGAAATTTTTAAGTATCCTTTGATACTTGGAATCGCATTAAGCATGCATGGATACATGGAGTCGCATTAAGCATACATGGATACTTGGAGTAGCATTAAGCACACATGGATATTTGGAGTCGCATTAAGCATACATGGATACTTGAAGTCGCATTAAGCATACATGGATACTTTAAATACTTGGAGTCGCGTGAGGGTTGTTACTTAAAGACCGACTCACGGTTTATCAGTTGACCAAAAATTACAGTCGACTTTGCTCTCATTCCTGACTGCTGATACCTGTACTATACTATTTTCAAGGCGTCGATGCAAACTGTCTTTTGCTGAGCGGAATGACAGCCTCGGAGTAAATTTATCAATAGTTATATAATTAGTGCAATGGAAGCTAAACTATGACAATTAGCGGCGATTGAATATTAAGTGGCTGAGAGCGTTTTCCATGCCACCAATGTTGTCATGTATACTTCATTTACCAGCTTGCCCTAACGTTTGGTGGTAATGCACGCTGTACAAATTATCGCGTTCGCCGACATATGTTCGCCTCGCAGCACTACAGTCGTTAAAATCATTTCGTGGTTTCTGAAGAAAAGACCTGACAAACTAGGCGCGAGTGAGGCGTAAGTGCGCCGAGTTAAAGATCGCGCTACGAGACTGGCATGGCTGTTATGGTGTGGAGAGTGAAAGTTAATGTGGAGCTACATGAAGACGACCTACGAAGCCTCAGGGGTTGACTTGCTCAAAGGCTTTGCGGTTTGTCAAATTTTAGCTTTACTTTGACCAAACTTGCGTAATGGTTTACTCGGTGTTGAGTTTTGTCGATATTGTGCTTTCCAAGAGCCCAGGCACAAAGTTGTTAGCCCCCATTTTAACAATTTGATGACCGATCGTATAATTGGAAAAATAATATTAGTAATTTAACTGACAGCATTCATTCTCAATAGTACAAGCTATACAAGGCCGGATTTTCATTTTTTCGTAAATGATTCAAAGCAAATTGAATAAATTGGGTGTTTGTTCTTGCATCTTAGTTTTCAATTTAACGTAGAATAATTTCAAAAATTAAACAAAAGTTTATGTTGCTTCATGCTATAAAATTCAATATATTAAAAAATAAAAGTGAAATATTTGACATGAGTTATTACCCGATGGAATAAGGATATTTTTGAATATTTAAAAATATTTTCCGAGTGCTCGTAGGACAATTACAGCATAATTGCCATGTGAAAATATAGTTCAGTGTTTAGCGGGAATTGAAGCTTCAACCGCCAAGATTTTCTCTGCAACCCCAAAGTCATGCCCACGGAACAGCAACGGGCAGAAATAAATAATTTCCACAGTTCCTCAGTGTCAGAAATTTTTGGCATATACTAAGTTACCAAAAATTAGTAACTGTTAATCAGTTATTATCAATAAAATGTCAAGGAATGCACGGGTTCTATCATCATCATTGAAGACTGTGAACGCATAAATCGCATCGAACGCATCTTTGAAGTGAACGCATAAATCTAACTAAATCAGTGCAAACCCAACGACTGCGTCCGTGTAATAAATAAAAGCCCTACTCGTCTTCATATGGACACAGAAAGCATTCATAACTTCACTTTCACGTAGAGTTAATATCAGGATCGAGCGGTTACGCCCTAATCTGCGCGTCCATCGTTTCGAAACCGTCCGCTTCTACGGGCGGACGGAAGGTGAGTTTCGGACTTCCGCGAGAATGGAAAGGTTGTGAGGGCTCGCATTTCATACAATGCGCTGGCATTTCCCGTCACGATGAATATGGATGCTTAATTTCTTATTAAACTAAGACTACAATTAACAATTGTTATAAATAGTGGACTCAGTACAGTACCTTCAGATTAGGCTGAAAGGAAACGAAGTTTTTACTAGGGTAAACATGAATGCAATGAATATGGATGCTTAATTTCTTATTAAACTAAGACTGCAATTAAAGATTGTTATGAATAGTGGACTCAGTACCTTCAGATTAGGCTGAAAGGTAAGAACGTTTTTTTTAGGGTAAACATGAATGCTACAATCTGGTCATTTGAGCAGCTTTCAGTTTCCATTGAAGAAAATGGAAACCGGTGGAAAGACCTAGAAAAAACTGAACAACGCAAGTGTGGGCTGCGACAATCCGTCGTGACGCCATGAAGCGCATGGAAAATTCATGGAGCTGACGACTGGAAGCTCAGCTAAGTTATTAAATGTGTCACGAAATAATATCTTAATAATATATTCATGTCATATTTTGGCTCGTGCGGGACTCGAGCTTGTGAAGGAGAAAGCCAAAGTAAATTTCACCGCAATTGCCTGGAATTAGGTTTGTTAATAGAAAATATTCATATCAAGTCTGGAAAGAATTTTGTTGGCTAATTATTTTAGGTCGTTCAAGTCAAATACGATCGCCATTATACCATTGGAAATACTTTAACATTTATTTCGCAAACTCACAAGACACATGTGACACCATTGACCACGCACAAGCCATGATTCCCGGGGGTATGAATATTTTTTGGTGCAAAGCCTCATATTTCACTAGTAATCTTTTGAAAACAACGATAAGTTCAGCAAAGTATTCGCATCAAGCTAATCAATTGATAGTTCCAATTTACTCAGCGATAACGCGTAGTACCCTGAGTAAAGAGTCATGCAAGTTAAATAATGCATTTAAATTGCGCAACGCCAGCCATAAGTTATAGAGTCACGCGCCAAGCAAGTCAAGTAATGCGTTTAAACTTTAAATGCCCAAACTGGCTCATCAACTTACGCGTTCAAGGCCCTGGAGCTGCGACCGCGACAGTCAATTAAGAGGGTCCAGGTTTCATCGCACGGCGAGGCATTCACGTCGTGCCTTAACGCATGACAAATTGCCTTCGCAGGGAACATGTACTTTGTAGAATTCCCTTTCGTTTTTCCTCTATTTAAATATGAGCTTCACAATGCCGGGAATTAGTATTTTAACCTCATTTCAAATGTTTGCACATCAAGACACCTTGAAACTATTCCTAGATATCGCCGTATCGAGACACATGTCAGAAGCTAGGGTATCGCGTAACGTGTCAAAAGCTTGGGTATCGAGACACGTATAGGAAGCTTGGGCATCGTAGCATAATTTTTTAGGTATCACAAGTGCCCTCGAATTTAAACTTTAAGCTAATCCTCCATTCTTGCTAAATTTCTGCGATCAGTTCTTGATTTGGATATGGGATCTAAATTCAAAGCTGAATATTAGCAGTTTGCCTTTTTATTCCACGATTGCTGGTACCAAATCTTCATTGATATTTTCCTTTTGTGATAGAGCTTGATAAAGATATTTAAAATGAAATGGCTTCAACGGTACATTTCTTACGAGAATTCGATGATCGAAGTTATTCAATTATAGCGTTCACAATGCTACCAATTTAGAATGATATAATACAGAGGTAAAGATCAAGTTGCGATAACATAGAATTGTTCCCGTTGCACCCGATTAATACAAAATTTAATTGAGTTAAATCATTGACAAAGAATGTACTTGTCATCAAATATTTCGATCGCTGTTACTGTACTTCTGCTAACGAAGTTTATTTGACTTAAGATAAAATATAAAAAGTTGATGTTAATGGCCTAGGGAGCTGTTATTTTTTAGATAAAAAGGATTGTTTAGTGTTGAATTGACCTCATGTTAGGGGAGGCATTGTACAGGTCAGGTGGCCGGTGCACGAGGGGTTGGACGCGCATATATAAAGCGTGCGAGGGCATCCGCCGCGGCAGTGCCTCCGCGTCTGCTGAGGTGTAAGCATTACTGAGTGTCGCGATGCTCGAGTCCCTTCCTCGTCTCATTTTGTGTTAAATGGTTTATCATGTTTCATAGGAAAAAGGGAAATTAATTTTACATGTGTTGTTAGGTCCCAAAACTTTATTCGAAGCTGTATCGTTTTGTTGGCTCACCAATAAACTTTTTTCCATTGTCACGTAAACTCATAGTGAACAAATCATTTTATTATATACAAATCATTCGTCAATCAAAATAGTGATAATTTCATCAACACAATAAAAAAAAGCTGCTGGAAATATTTTCAATATATTAAAAAAATCGGATTCACAGCTAATTCAACAAAAAATCATCCGCGTGTGAAAACAACAGTCGCAAAAATTTTGGCTTTTTCACATGATTTTCAGAGATGAACTTCGGTTTAATACGATTAATTTTTATATTTTTAATATTGTATTTTATCTCACTAAGCCTAGATAACAACAGTAATTTTGAATCAAAATAAGTCGAGTTCTTATATTTCGTATTGTGCTTTCGTTGAATTTTTCATGGTTTTGAGGCAGGTTCAAATGGCAGATTCAGATATTCAGGTTTGAACTATAAAATAGTGCAGCGAGAACAAAGCTGTGGATCACTGCTTGCCAGCGCTCAAATCTCCGACACGTTTCGGCCACGACGTTGAAACAGATCGGCTGTAGAATCTGCCAATCCCTTGCAGAACTCGATTTGTGGAAACGTTCCAGGTAAGAACAAAAGGACTTTTTATAAGTAGAATTCTACGTTATTTTTAAAACAGTCAAGTATATATTAGCTGTCAACTTAGTTGCATTCACACTCTCTTGTTCCTCTACATGTATGAATTGTTCACCTTCCTCGTTCTTATTTTTTTTCTGCCATTAACAAAAAATATACTGAATAAATCTTACAAAAAATATCATGAGAATCAGCCGTTTAAGTTAAAAAATATTCAGTAGCGCACTAAAGTCTGCAAAAAAATTAAGTTTACACATTAAAAAACAATCCCCTCGTTTTTGTGACAACATATACGACCTGGTGTCGGTTTTTCATCTGTAAAAAACTCGTATACAAGGAGCGTGGATTGGACACTTGAATCAAACACTCATAAAAATAAGTGAGATTTGGTCCGCATAGCGATGCCCTTTTTGCCTTAGTGTGATTGATTTTTTAGTGTGGTTGACACGAAAAATTGGAGTATCAGTGCTACGCTGATAAAGTGTGTCACTATTTGGACAGTTTGACTCATCTGTTTTTAGCGCATTTTCTCACTTATGAAAAAATGCACTATTGTGCTCGCCATGTCCGTCTGTCTGTCTGTCTGTCCGTCCGTCCGTCCGTGACCTCAAGTTTTCGTCGACGAGAAAATGCTCTCTCTGTCACTCACTGCAGTGAGTACAGAGTTATATTTTTATGAGTGTAAGCTCGCGGCATAACACCTTCAGGCAGTTAACACTCTCACACGCAACACTAGATTCGGGTGGGAATTTCCTAAGTTTTTCTGATCTTCTTCATAAAACTTGAAGAAACGCGGAAACGCTCCAGCGATCAACCTGCGCCCCGCAGCCGTATATCGATGACCTTTGTTCGATGAACTCGATTTTCTTGCACACCGAAATTACATACACTGAACTTGTACTACCTGTGCCATGCGACTGATGACAATCAAAACGTGGACCGCGGCTGAAACTTTCTTGCAACATCAGACCACATATATTAGAATAAAATTTCAAATTATTAGGGCGCTGGAATTTGTACTTCTATTCTTCGGCGAACAATCTAATATAATGGGCTTGATCGTTTTGACTCGGAACAGGTGAATATGAAACTTATCATAATGAAGTAATAGATATAAGCATGTTAAGTATAATAAACTCGAATGATGATGATAAACTTTCAGTATGATAAACTCGAATTTACTAATTTAGGATAAAAATTAATAAAGTAATATTTGTATTTGAAACCTGTAATACCAGGTTCAAAACAGATCATGTTTTTTTATCTCAATTACTTCATACCGGAAGTAATTAAACAACTATTTCCTTGCAATGGTATTTAGTTGCCTATACTGGGATTTAACTACAGACACATGTTCATATTTTTCTCCCCGCCACTGCACATTTACTCAATGCCAGAAACATGTTTATATATTTGGCAAATAAATATTGTGAAACCGCAACGCCTCTGAATTTGATAGCGAGAGCGACGAAACACTGCATGTGACGTCTGTGCTTATCAGCATCTCATTGAAAATCATGGATCGTCAATTGGTTTACTGTCACTTGGATATTCTGATGTAACGCAACTTCCCGTTGTGATTTAATCTTGATGCAACTTTGTTAAAAGATACAAACTATGATACAGTGTAGAGCAGCTTGCTTCCGAGTAGCAAGTTTTTGACGACGAAGCATTGCAGATGAAAATGATGCCAGTGGGAGTGAGCTGCCAATGAAACCTTACCCGTGGAAGTAGTTTGCTGATGAAAACGTTACCCGTGTAAGTGCTTTGATGATGAAAACGTTACCCGTGTAAGTGATTTGATAATGAAAACGTTACCCGTTTAAGTGTTTTGCTGATGAAAACAGTAGCCGTGGAAGTGCTTTGCTGATGGAAACATTACCCGTGTAAGTCTTCGCAGATGAGAACGTTACCCGTGAAAGTGCTTTGCAAATGAAAGCAGTACCCGTGAAAGTGCTTTGCAGATGAAAACATAACCCGTGGAAGTGCTTTGCAGATGAAAACGTTACCAGTGGAAGTGCTTTGCAAATGGAAACAGTACCCATGGAAGTTCTTTGCTGATGAAAACGTTACCAGTGGCAGTGAGTGACTGATGAAAACGTTACTCGTGGAAGTGGTTTGCCTACAAATTGCGCGTGCTCGAAGCAAAAGGTTGACGGCTCAAGATTGTAATGTCAGACTCAGTAATGAAGAAGACATTGTGGTTCCAGAGCTTCCCACTACCCGAACGGTTGAAGTCGTGCTCACCGGAGAAAGTATTACGTACACGAAGCCGTTCTAATTGCGCTTCCGGTCAGCTATGGTGTTTTGCGCGCGAGTTTTGCATCATTGCACCTCGGCGATTACGAAACGGCAATTGGAGGCGAAGCGCGTAAACTGCGCACGGGAATTTTCATGCTGACACTCATATTTGATGGATGTGATGCAAGCGATCGTTATAGTGATGCATGTGGAGCAAACGATCAAATCATATATGATGGATTTAATGCAAACGATCACAATATAGATGATCCATGCGGTGCAAGCGATCACTATATCAGTATATGGACTATGGATGTGGAGAAAACGATCATAAGTCGAATTTTTCAAATAATTAATTGATTGACACGTGCATTGTATACTTCGTTAAGAAATTGAGCTCAAGCATTTGATATACGTGGTGAACTCATTGTCGAGAATATTAAAACATAGAAATTATTGAGAACTATTGTACCGAAGTGACAAACAATTTTGGTCTAGGCTAAAACCCGCTTGGGTTTTCGTCCCACTTGTTTCCACTCTTCTCACTTTCACTCCGTAAATTACACGTGTCTATACTTGTCAAATTAGTATGTGGAGAAGTATACTGCTTTAAGAAATGAGAATACCAGCTTACTTATTCTCAAAACTACGTTCTTTGTGCACTCCAGCTCTCACGTCTTGCCCCAATGTATGAATTTCAATTTTCGTCAATTAGATTTTAGGGTTTACCCTCTTGTCGGGTAAGGCTAGGCTTCCTTGTTACATTAATGAACAAGAGTACAACATCAATTTCATTTCATTGCATGAAACTTGACTGATGAACCCATGTATCTTTGCACACTACAGTTCTTTGCTTGACTCAAACGTTTCACATTGATTTAAATTTAGACTGTTTAAATAATTCGCGTGAGACGTTTTTGTAGAAAAATTAAAAAGTGGTAAGAAAATTTCGATGTATTAGTATAAACGTGAACATATAAAACAAGCTCGTACATAATAATTCTGTAGGGTAAGACAATATCACAGCATTGTGAAACAGGTCCCCGTTAGGTCATTTTTTTTAACACATATTGGAGGCCGAGCTGACCTGTCGTACTATTCTTGCCTCACATTACGAGAATTACTGAGATAATTAGGTGAATTCTGACGTAAATATTTTGTAGGTGTTGATTAAGTTTTGTTGCTTAAGGCATGCCACACAGGAGACTGACCAGCCCATGCAGTGTATGCCACATCCCACTGAATGTCACATGCCACTGCATGCCACATCCCACTGCCTGCCACATCCCACTGCATGCCACTTCCCACTGCTTGCCACATATCACTTTATGCCACATACAGTATGCGAGTTGAAAACCCTTGCAGTGCCGCTCTGCATGTCTCACATGAATCTTACAATCCCGTAAAGTGCATACCCCATATCACTGCATGCAACGTAAGAGTCTTGCTAACCAGTGCAGTACATGCCATATCCCACTGCATTCCACAACATCCACATTTTTTAACTTATTCAATAATTGTATTTATAGGCACTAGATCCTTTTATTATCTTTTTATTTATACGTTTAATATTGATTATTTTTATTTTATACTTAGGTTGCATTTTTGTGTGGACGGCGGAATTTCTTAATAGTTAAATTATACGATGGAATTTTCACGTAATATAATGAACGACGTTGCGGAGGGCGGAACAAATTAGCCAATGGGTGTACACGTAAAGTACTGCATGCAAATGCCAGGGTGTTCTCTTGGGCTGATCAGGGAAGTATATTATTATCAATATTAATTATTATTGGGTTATTGGTGGGAGTGAGCTCTCGCGAGCTATCGTGACCTCGTCAACAGATGGTGAGCCATGAGGTAGTTTTGAAAATAGGTAATAACATCAGATGGAGTTAAATAACATTAAGAATTAGTTCTTTGGAGGAATCACCATATATAATATATTTTATATCATGGGGGTTGACTTTAAAATAGGTAATAACATCCGATGCCGTTAAAGAACATTAAGAATTAGTTTTTTGGGGCAGTCCCCATATCTCATATTGTTAGGGATTGGATACGATGGACCTATACGATCACTTGGCTGAACAATGCAGGGACGAAGATGGCTTTATTTTTCTTTTGTTGGAGTGCGTCCCTAGAAATATAGTGTATTTTATATCATATACACAAGGAATTGTGTAATGTATAATGATGGAGAATGCAAGTCAAGGGCGCAGAACTATCCTGTCTAGGACAGCAAGTTGATAGGATGTTTTGCTGTTCAGTGTCGCGAAACATCAAGTCACATTCGCAATCCTGAACATAAGTAAGTGGTACAGAATGACGTTTTGCAGGATAATTAAGACACGGGTTTGTGCAGAAGGCGTTTACGTCTGTTGCGTCGTGTGTTACGTCGTGCATTGTTTGAAAAAAACGGTCCCAATGGCGCTCTATAGTGGCCGGTCGCCCTGTGAAAATAAACTGTTTCGCCGTTTTTATCAGATGTTTTTCGGATTTCTAGTGTTAAATTAGAATAAAAACGGTGATACGGTGTTTCTTTTCACGTGCCGACCGGCCACTGAAACGCCGGTAATACCGTTAACGGTAATTTTTCTAACAGTGCGTGTTACGTCGTGTATTACGTTTTTATCGGCGTCAGATGATGTCGTCTGCTTGCATTCTTTGTCTGCATCGAATATGTTATTGTCAACGCAACATAGAATGCAAGAACGTTGAGGCTTAAATTGATTAGAAATCAAAAATCTTGAAAGCAAGAAATACGATAATAAATATTATAAACAATTGATATAAAGCTCATGAGAAGAAACAAAAATAACGTAAAAGGCTCTTGAATAAATTCTACCTGATGAAAAGCTCAAACTGAAGTGTGTAAATTGCCGTATATACAAATATGCATTACAAGTATACGACTTGAGCCCGCATTGTAGTTGACACGTAGCAGTATGTGCAGATTTGTAAATAAACCTAATAAATAAAAAATGCTGTGTGTGAAATTCTCATACGTTTAGGAGTAAAAAATCCCATGTTTTTCATAAAAAGCTGACGAGTTTTAATTCATATATTAAACTTTGAGCATTTTAGCATTGAGAGTGCATTTATTGCGAGCATTTGCGAAGTTTTAGAAGACCATTGACCAGCAATCCGGTCTGATTTATGCTTTTTACCACAGCTGCAACAGGTATTAGCGAAACCACTAATATTAAGACAGATGTTAGCGAAGCCAGTAGTATTGAAAGCGCATAATAAAGAAAGCATATTTGCAAATGTCTAGTCTGCTCATTCCTTTTGTTCTTAGGAAATTATCGTATTTTTGCTTCGTTCGTTAGGGTGCGCATGGAGCAAGAGACAATGCGTCTATATACGCACTGCCTGATTAGCGACGCAAAAAAGCAACTTTCGTTTGCGAGTCCAATGAAGCCATAAAGCGCGTGTGTAATTAAAGTCTATCCTGTAATTCATACGAACCTTATAGTACCTTCAGAGAAAACCCGGAACACGAACTGGCAAAACGCAAAAGACGAACTGTTTGAACGCTGAAGATGAAATGTTTGAACGCAAAAACTTACTTAAGTGGCAGAACGAAGAAAACGTAGAGGCAGAACATAGAAGGCGAACTGGCCGAACATAGAAAGAGAACTGGCATAACGCAGTAGACGAAGTGGCAGAAAGCAAGAGACAAACTGGTGGAACGCAGAAATGAAAGCAAAATGAGCCTTTGAAAAACAGAATCTCATTAAATTTTTTTAACTGCAGTGCAGTTAAGGAAATCCTTGTAGCGATCAGCCAGTTAGTGTTTCTGATCCATGTAGTTAAAAGAAGCTCGCATTCTAGTGGAAATCATCAGCTTAATTCTTCAATTCTGCAAATAAAATTATAGTGATACGGTATTCAAGTTAAGACGAGTAGAGTTGCACAATCTGTTCAAGGTTGCACAGGCGAGATCATTCAATAAATCCTGATAACCCAGACGTCCTCTATAAAGAGACGTTCCAATCTTCTGCTGCATAGCGAAATTTTCTCCCTACTCCATTTCATCTATTGTCAATTGCTTCTATTGTCAGATTCTTCCATTGACCATTTATTCTATTGCACATTTCTTCCGTTGAAATTCCTAGGTCTCATCTCGTCTCAAGATTATTCCACTGAGTCATGCAGGGCAATTCCTTCACTCATGCAGAGTGCCTGAATTGAGCAGTGACGTTTGCTTCACAAAATACAATGTAGTTATTGCGAAAGATTTTTTTGACAACCTCATGCTGCTTTCTTCGCTCAATGGAGCGCGTGGCTCAGCAATGAAGTTCTCAGAAGTTTCATGTCTCACAAACTTTCCTCCATCGAAGTCATGTCATCGTTTAGAAGTTTGTATTCGTTCCCCTTTCGCGGAACAGGTGGCGGCCCTCACTCATTACATGGCTTTCCATGGCAATAACATCGACGAAATTGAAAGTGATGGTCAGCCAGCGAACGATTTGTCTATTGTTTGTACACATATAGGCAGGCTCCGTGCGCTAGCGTAGAAATTAGACGTGTTGTAGCGAAAAAGTTGAAGGCGGGCAGTTTTCCAGCGGGAAAGCCTGAGTGCTAATGGAAGTCTGTGGTACAAGAAAGTCCGTTTATTATTTTGTCGGCGATGTGAGTGTGAGTAAAGAAATAATTTCTACACTGTACAGTTTGAAAAATTCATGAGTATAAATCATTTAATGCAAAATATTTTAGTTATTAAAAAGTTTTAATGCATTTTACAAAATTACGGTAATTGTATCAAACAATATGCTGCTCAAACTAATGAGTCATTAGTTGTAAAATATTCATTTGTTGAACAATTTTTGATACCGTTACGGAATTCATATCGAATTATTAGCTGCTCAAACCCGCGTTGCCGGGATAAATTATTTGTGAAGTATGGAAATCGTGATTCCCATAATCCTTAATGCCGGCTCTAATTTACAGAGTGAAGTGATGTTAATAAATATTAAAACAGAAATTCAAATTAATATGAAGTAAATGAAAAAATTGTAATTAAATTTAAAAATTCCCGTTTCAAATTTTGAACAGAATTGAATATTTATAGTTTTCTTAAATATTCGATATACAAAATGAGAACAAATTGAAAATTGAGATTAAAACCCCCATCTCCATTTTTAATGATTTAAATTTTTTCCACTAGGAAAAAAATATCTTGCCAGGTAATAAGGGGACACGACTGAATAGTAAAGTGAAGACGCGCTAGTATGGCTTTTATATATTTACGACGACACATGTCAAACATACGTAAACTTTTACAAATGAATAATAGACTAGAAGCTTTTCCAAAATTTGCTCAGGACTTATAATCCTTGAAATTCAATAATCAATTTCTCTAAAATCCTTTCCCCTTTAATTAATCACGTAGGTAATATTGAGAGAACGTTAAATAAAGAACGATCCGTTCAAACCAATATTCGGTATGAATCTCACATATAAGGCCCATTTTGAAATTTAAAGGAAACATGTACTTTTTATTTTAAATAAAACATACACTTCACAAAGAGAAAATAACCTATCCCGGTATTGCCCCGGAAAATCCCCGGTTTTTAAGCAATAACCTGATTTAATAGGCATTGCGGATATACGCTCTTTAGAATAGCCCTTTTATATTTCTGATGTCAGACTTCAAACACGAACACAAGTCCACGCATTAACTTTTACGAACCTATAACAGAAAATTGAAGTAGTAATATTAGTCATTACAGAAACTTAGGAACACATTTAGAAAAGTTAACAATGATTTATCCAACCATTGTTTCCCAAATTCCTATATAACAAATGCTGTTGCACTCGAATATTGACGAATATTGAGATTGAATATTGAACAAAGACAAATATTGATCTGAAATATTGTGATTGTGATATGAGCTTGCAGGTTCACATAATGTTCAGTGGCGCGCCACGTAATACATCACTATTGCTACGTTGGCTGCGGACGATAACGGCACAACGAAGAAAGCTACAGTTCTTGTTAAACGATGAAAGCGAAGGGTGCGATCGGTCAAATATTGCTTCTCACGTTATGATTCACAAATTCCTCATGCTCGATGCGTGTGAACAGAAGTGAATGTGATCGTGCTTATGTATGGTAGCATGTAATATCGTGTCTATAGATCAGTGACCTGTCATTAAACTGATACTAAATTCACGAAAGTTGTTGTTATCAGTAAAATTTTTCTGCAATGTATGAAAAAACACTCACATAAATCAAGAGGATAGGTAAATCAAAATGAAAAACTGTCTAATACTACCCATACCGAGTGAAAAAAAACTTTATATGGGATTAAGGAATATTCTTCCATATAAATGTAAGGCATAAAAACTTTTATATTTCAATGACTTATTTTCTCTCTATTTACAACACTTCTATTTAACTTCACTTCTTGTCTGTCTGCTACAAATCTTATAATCGATATTTAACACACTTCTACCTGTCCAATCGATATGAAATTTTGCAAACGCGCGTAAAGTCGGAGACAATGCATGAACCAATTGACAGAATAAATAATTAAAAAAAATTATATATATTAAAAAATCAATATGTATGTATTAAATATATATTTTTATTATATTTTTTAATATTTAAAAATAAAACAGGAAATTCTTTGTAGATGTGTAACATCGGAGATACTGGCCTCTTTAGAAGTGTTGTCTTTAAAAATTAATTTTCAAACACATAATTTTTATATCCTAGCCCCGGAGTGCAGAATGCGGGCGGTGGTGCTGGTCGTGGGTAGCCTCCTCCTATCCTTGGGCCTTGCTGAGGCCCTGACGGTTCCAACTTTGGACCATCAAGTCCCCGAAAAAGACGACACATCTGCCGTGTCCCTGCTTCCAGTTGGCTCCTCCGTTCCACACTTGGACCATCAAGTCCCCGAGAAAGACGACACATCTGCCGTGTCCCTGCTTCCAGTTGGCTCCTCCGTCTCCTTCACTAAGTCGGTTTCATCGTCCGTCTCGACCAAGACGTCTCCAGCGGTCTCGCCTATTGGAGGGCTCAATGGAGAAGGTCCTTGTCAAAATTTTACGAATTGTTGTAGACTACCAAATAATACTTTTAAGTTTTTATTCTCAGAAGTGATTTAATTACATATGTGAAATAATTACAAAAATTGGAATTGTAAGCACAAATGCAATAAAAAGTTACGCATAATAAATGTGACCTAATTGCTCGAACACAATGAAAGTTTAATTAATATTTTTCATTACAGCAATTTACTCTTAATTTACTGTCAAATTCATCATAAACACAGAATTACTCCTGCATTACTACAGCAGTCGAAAGATTTTTCGAGTGTAAAAGTTGCTGAGTTAAACATTATTAAGCCTTTACATGCAAAAGCAAACGTAAAGACGAAGGTTTCATCAGGGCTTTACCTTCCGATATATATGTCATTTATGCTTTTATATCAAAGGCAAATGTCATTGAGGCCTTACTTTCACTTTCCTTATTCCAGGGGAACTGGACCAGAGTGAGTCTCAGGACTTCAAAGTTTACGCATCACCGACGTTGAAAAACAAGCGAAGAACTCCAGCCGAATTATCCGCTTCCGCCAGATTACGACGCAAACTTTTTCCGACGACTGTCCGCAACCTCGTGACACCCGAAACACTTCACCGCCAGAGCGGGGAGACTGAAGAGACAAAGTACATTGAAGCAAAAACAAGACAGCAGACATCAAAACCATTCAAAAAATTGACATCCCAAAAACTTTCGAGCTCCGAAACCCCCACTTCATACGTAAACTTTGTGGGACCGGCTCTTCTCCCTGATGAATTCGCGAGCATCCGCGACTTGAGTTTCGATAAATCGAAAAACCTCTCACCTGAAGAAATGGACGAGCTTCCATTTACGACGACTCTTCCAACCTATTCGAATGAACTTTTTATCGAAGACGAACATGTAACCTCTTCGGTTCCCAGTGAGAGTGAAACCGGATTACTAGGGACATCTGTGCCAGATTTATCAACGAAAAAATCCCCAACAACCTTTTCGGACCTCTTCAAAGAACGTTATCCTGATACCAAACCAGAAGCCACAGTTGAAAAAATTAATCCTACTTTCCGTTCCTTCATTAGTCCTGAACTTGGCGACGAAGAACTCGCGCTCTACGGTAAGAACCTTTCTATTCAGCGAGGAGTTCTAGAGAAGGAAGTTCTGGACATCGCTGAAGATGGTAGTGAGAGCGCCACTCTGCTGCTGGTGGCACCTCCCGGCCAGCAGGAAACCAATGCAGTTCTCCCTGAAAAATTCGTTTATAAAAGAAGAGACATCGAAGAAATGCCCCGGAAACGAATGAAGGTGAGGTGGGAAAGATGCAGCCCCGAAATTACGTTTTGGGTGCTGGAAGTTAGAATTTGCTTACAATTATTGATTCCACTGCGAGAAAATATTTGTTCGCTTCAGAGAAATCTGGTTAATCTTCTGAAACCAAATTGATGCTCCAGAAAGTGAGGATCTGGAAGCAAGAGCCCGTTGAACATATTTCATTGGAACAGTTCGGTACCACAATAGACATAATTAACTTTGCTAATTCCCTACGGCCATTTCCTTATCTATAATTGGCACAACGGATATAAACTCTCTTGAAATAGGTTCTATGATAACACAGATGAACAATATTGACTCGTGAATACAGCGAATTATATCAATTCACCAGTTGGAACAGAGAGTGCTGATACCGTTTGTAGGCTCGTTACGAAAACAGTTCAATAAATTTACCTAGATATTCGAGTGATCTGGCTACTTAAGATTCTGATACCACAAATTGCAGAATAATTAGTGATACAAATGAAGCAATACGGGCACTCGATATTACGGTGACAATATGAGCTACATTGACACGGTTCAGCAATGGAGATCATTTTATTACTTACATATAGATAGTATTAGTAGAAATATATATAATTATTTAGAGACAGCATTCGCAGAAAAGATATCAGTAGAAATTCACCTAAATGTTGCACACGGCAGATGGTGAAGCAGCGCAACTCGGAGTGGGTGGCGGAGGAAGAAGCTGGCGTCATGTTGCCAGCTGCCGACGGCTCTGGTGCCGCCTTCGTGCCAGAGATGCTCATCGCCGATACAGAGTTTCTGCTCGCCATCACTGCTCAAACTAAATTGCGGTATGGCTATTTATACTCCTCAAATCACCTTAAATTATTGACAGGTTCTGACTGCTATTGTCAGTCCCATGTAGTTCCCTACAGGTCTGTCAGAGGGTGCTCGAGAAAACGGTATCATCGGCTGAGCGCAAGGATTTTTACCGGCCAATAAAATTAAAAAAAAAAAACGCCCAAATCGGCAAATTTGGCCGAGAAAATGCCCAAATGGCAACTTGATTCCTTGCCTTTTGAATGGTCTGAAAATTTACACTCACAGCTGGAATCTAAGAAAATGGCTGACGTATTGCGGTTTATGTTAATAATCTTGTTATTGAAGGCTCGTATGGGTACGAGTATCGCAAGAGCTAACGATCGGCTGCAAAAATTAAACAACGACGTTGAAAACATTTCGGTTTCTTTGGCACATTTTCCCTATAACTTTGAGTTCAAGTCAAAATATTGAAATATTCGTATAAAGACATTAATTTATTTTTAACATGAAGTTTAAATCTTAAATTTCGATAAATAATTTATGTATCCTGTATCTATTGTTTTTAGCATTTGATGCGCCATGTTTGATTGTGATTATTCTTCCAACAACGAGCATAGCGTATTTTCATTCGCAATTATACAATAATTAGGACGCATGTTAACGAAATTAAATATTATATTTAAATTTTTATTAACATTTAATCAAGTACTACATAATTAACTTACAGTTTTTCACTTTAATTTATCCGCAACAAAGAGGCTGTTCAGTCACACTCCTGGCGCATAAAAAAATTTACGGTGGATACAAAGTAATAAATATCATGACTAACTGAATAACAAACATAATAGCAATAGGTTAGTAAATGTTTTATCCACACAAACGATAGAATCTAAATCTCATTTACCATCAATGTTGGGACTAATTCAATACATTTTTTTAATACAATTAATATAATACATTTTTAAATACAATTAATATAATACATTTTTAAATACAATTAATATAATACATTTTTATATACAATTAATATAATACATTTTAAATACAATTAATACAATACTTGTTTAAATACAATTAATATAATACATTTTTAAATACAATTAATATAATACTTTTTTGAATGCAATTAATATTATATTCCTTTTTCAATGGCATGGCAGGAGCGAACCTGTGCCTAGTGATGGGAACCTGACGCTCTTGGCAGCGTCGAGCGACACTAGCGCTGCTCTCAACAGACCTGGTCGCGACACCAAACTGGTATGATGTCTTATGATGAAAATAATTCAATTGCTTAAAATAAAATATTACATTTATTGCCGAAGATCCACCCGAATCTTCAGAAAGCGTCGCAAATCATTTAATTGCTTATACTATGCTGGTACAATTACTGTAATGACCCATCCTGTTAGTGGATAGGGTTGAGGGTAGGTTGTTGTGGTAATGACCCATCCTGGTAGTGGTAGGGTTGAGGATAGGTTGTTGTTGTGGTAATGCCAATCCTGATAGTGGTAGGGTAGAAGGTAGGTTGTTGTGGTAATGACCCATCCTAATAATGGTAGGGTAGAAGGTAGTTTGTTGTTGTAGTAATTGTCCATCCTGATAGTGGTAGGGTTGAGGGTAGGTTATTATTGTGGTAATTGTTTATTCTGGTATTGGTAGAGTTGAGGGTAGGTTGTTTCGTCCTTATTTATCACCGGAATCGTGTTCCCAGATGGGCGGGATGCCCTACAGTTTCGGTTACATCGTGGACGACGAATATACGGACAACTACCAGACACGCTACGAGGAGAGTGACATCAACGGCGTCGTCAACGGTTGTTATCAGGTGGGTGCAGCTGCTATCAGGTGCGTACAACTGTTATCAGGTGCGAAGAGATATCAACAAACGTGTCAAGCTATTATAACGTACGCAAGGGGGTATTTCTGATGTGTGAAGCTGTTATCACGTGCGTGTAGATGTTTTCAAGTGCGTGCTGTAGATATCAGGTGGGTAAGATAGTTTGTTATCAGGTGTGCAGAGTGGAGCTGTTACAAAATAGGTACGCGAGACTATAATCAGCGTTTGGCACTGCTAAAAGGTGCAAGTGGTTATTTAAGGTGAATGAAGGACTTAGCAAGTGCGCACAGTTGATGTGGCATTTTTTTGGGCTGTTATCAGGTACGTGGGGATATTATCACGCGTATAGGACTGTTATAAGATGCAAGTGCTGTTATCGAGTAAGTGTGAATAAGTGTGGCTGTTATTAAGTGCGTTGGACTGTTATACAGTGAATGGTGATGCCATCATGTGAATGAGGGACTTATTAGGTGTGTACGTCTATTATCAAATCCCTGTGACTGCTTCCAGATGATTGTACATGTGTAATCAGGTGCGTTCAGCTGCTAATATATGTTCTCAAATATTCATGATATTTCGAATGTGATCTAGTTTCGCTTTTTCTTCAATTTTATTGAGCTGCTCCGACCTCCCCGAATCCTTAGACATCCAACAAAACCACACAATCATAACCTGCCTCTTCATCACTAGCAATATATTTCCTCCATTGCCTTTTCTCCATCCACCACTCACCACTCCTCTCCTGCTTCCCACGTACTCAACTTGAGGAAAATTTATGACCGCTGAAAATTCTTGGTTTCAATAATCATTCCAGTTATCAGTATCATTAATTAAAATCGTTGGTTTCCTTCCCCCTTAGTTTGCTCTACTCGCGCCTTTTATTTCCCCCTCCTCCTAACTGGAATTATTAATTCTCATTCTTAATTTCCTCATTCTTAATAGGAATTTTAATTCCCCCCCTCATAATCCAGCACCCTTCCCCCTGCTTATTTCTACGCAGGTGCTGGAGGGGACAGGGCTGGTGCGCACGGTGACATACCGTGCAGACCATTCAGGGTTCACGGTACTCAGCTCCACCCACGACACCGACAAGTCACCGTGTCCTGGTGAGAGGCCGCACCAGCTGGCATTATCATGCATTTCTAGTGCATGCTAATGAATTCATAACGATGCTAGTATCATGCAATTCTATAGTGCATGCTAATGAATTCATAAAGATGACATTATCATGCATTCCTAGTGCATGCTAATGAATTCATGAAGATGGCATTATCATGAAATTCTAGTGTACACTAATGAATTCATGAAGATGGCATTATCATGCATTTCTGGTGCATACAAATGAATTCATAAAGATGGCATTGTCATGCAATTCTAGTGCATACTAATGAATTCATACCGGCCATCAGAATCGTGGCAAAGCTTGGTAATTAGTTTTTAAACATCGAGCTGGCCAAGTGGTTAAGATCACCAAGATTGGAGTAACTATTAGATGTGTTCGAAAACCGCTGCTATTTGTGAAAATTCTGGTCAAAATCTGCCGAGCGGCAGGGTGGTTAATAATCGGAGACAGGCCAACACAGTCAACCATTGCTAAAACCACAAAGTTGTATTATACATTATATCATTGCGTTTTGGATATATTCGAATGTTTCCACATTTTTTTAAAGGATATTGATATATTTGCATAACCCTATAAATTGTTGTGGAACATTTGAAAATGGACATAATACTAATCAGACGTTACCATTCCAAGCGTCCACAAACGAATAAGAAACGGTCGTCAGAAATCTAATTTCTTCGATTAAAGTTCAATCATGTCCAGCAACGTAGCTTAGCCTCAAACATAACAACATCACCACAATTACCAGCTCTAATGTAATAATAAGATTAAAAATTTGCTAAATATTCATATCACGATATGAGTTTCGATACCCCAGGTCTGGACACGGCGGGTGAGGTCTCAGCGCTGTCAGCGAGCGTGTCGGGCCACGGTGGTAAGGCATCCGCGTCGTCGTCTGCTGCCCAAAATGCAAATTTTTTCTCGCAAAACATCGGAGTCTCAAAAGCAACGAATAAAAAAACTGTTGGACACTCTCAATCCCAATCTAAATTTTCATCACAGAATAGTAAATTAAATTCGCACAAACTTTCTAATTCAGAAAACAGTTTTGCATCAGGGAAATCTGGTTCACTCAACAACTTTCAGGGCGCACAGTCGAGTGCACTGAATAATTTTGGACACAGTCATTCAAGTAACTTGAATCAATTTAGCCAAAGTCAATTAGGTTCGTCGAGTCAGTTTGGTTCCTCAAGCCAGTTTGGTTCCTCGAGTCAGTTTGGATCCTCGAACAAGTTTGATTCGTCGAACCAGCTGGGTTTCAAATCACAATCTAATCTGAAGAGTGGAAACCAGTTTGAAAACAACAAGGCCTATTCAACCGCAGCCGCATCAACTGTCGACTCTCAGCAGAAGAGTCATAATCACAAATCTGTGCAACAACAATCCGTGAACAAACAATTTACTAAAAGTCATAGTGGAATAAAATCTACTCAACAAAATCAGCATTCACAACAGCAACATAGCCTTTCCAATCAACAGCAGAACTTTAAGCAACAAAGCCAGTACAACCAACACAAGCAACAAGGTCAGTTCAACCAACAACAACATAAGCAACAAAGCCAATTCAACCAACAACAACACAAGCAACAAAGCCAAATCAACCAACAACAACACACACAACAAATTAATCTACACCAACACAAACAGCAATCACAATATCAACAAGAACATGGAACCCAATCTCAAAAGCAGATTTCAAAACAGCAAGTGACTGACGGACATTCGAACTCCAATGTCTTGAAACACGAACAAAGTGGCTTGGGTACATCTTTCTCTTCATCCCATGCACAAGATGTCGGTTATTCTTCAGAATCCTCCAACCAACAGTCATTCTCTGACCAACAGTCCATGTCTAAATATATACAGAGTTTAACTGATGACCTTTACAGCGCGTTCTCTGGTTCCGACGTGGCGTCCACTGCCTCAGCCAGTAACCTCATCAACTTTCCCTATGTGTTGATACCCGTAACGACTTTCGTTGACTTGAGAGAAAAAGGCCACATTGATGGAGATGTTCAGAGTTTCGGAGCATTCGTCCAGCCAGTCAAAGACCGTCAAAGCTTTGAAAATTACAGACAACAACACACGACTGGGAACTCGTATTCTAACTCTCAGCAAGCATCAAAATCCGAGGCCAACAACTACAATTCTAAGTCAACTCATTCTTCTTCCAAGGGATCAATATTGTCACAGCTTCCAGGAATTCATCTAAACTCGCATTCTGCAACAAGAAATTCATTCACCCCTTCACACCGATCAGTGAGGGGCAGTAGAACTGTAGTTTCCCATACACCATCCACCTTAACAACTTACCTTCCAAGACCAATCACTTCTTTTCCTAAGTTTATTTCGAAGGACTACACGACAGGAACGAGCACGGGCGCATTACCCACACTGCCATCACACAACCCATCCACATCCTACATCCAAAAACTTGAGCTCATTAATGAGATAACTAATCTAGATGGACCATTCAATAATAAAGGAGACACAACAGACCCGCATGTAGCACCAAATTTATCGGGGTCTCTTTCGGGGTCAGGTGGCAATTCTTTGCCGAGTGCTTCTCATTTACAGGGGGCTCCTCATAACAATAGAGTTATTGCAACGCCAGGACGCATTAATAATAAAAAGAATCCCACCGACCTGTCCTTGCGTCAAATTCCTCTTAGCGAACTCAGTGCATTTGTACGAACATCTGGAAACTTGGATTACCTAAACAATTTGGAGAAGCCAAGCGCCCACAGTCAAAATGACGGCCTGACGTCTGCTCGCTTCAACTCTGAACAAGACTTTACGCCAGCGACGAAATTACGCTTTACGCAAACATATACTCATGTACCGAAAGGTGAGCCTCCGATTGATACGGTTTTCGCCTTCTCAACTCCTGAAATTACTTCTTTAAGATCAAGTTCTTCTAACACTCATCTACCGATTATTCCTTTGCCTACTCTACATGAAGTGCTTGACGCCTCTTCAGAAATTTTAAATCAAGTTCAGGGGAGATCGGTAGGGTTAGGAACATCTAATGCTCTGAAAAGTATTCATAAAAAGGCGCATTTGAGTTCTAGGGCCCCAATTCCCTCCTACTTAGCCTCACTCAGCGACCCTGCACTGCCTCTCGGCAAGACCTTGTCAGGGAGGAGCGTTGATGAAAGAACTGCTCCTGACCAAGCATTGCCTCGACTACCAAGAAGGCTGCAACCATTCAAATCTCCGTCTAATGAATTCCAGGTACCAGCAAGCGCTGGCAAATTTAAAGCCCCTACAAAGCTAGAATCCATGGTTGATTCTCCTCTGATTCGTTCCAGCGATTGGATTCCGATGGTACCGGCGCAGGGAACCACACAGGCAGGGAAAAAATCCAGAGAAGCCGATATTCAGGCATCTCTGGTGAGCCACTCAACAAAAAGCGAAAAATTCAACCTTATTGACAAAGTAACATCGACTCATTTGATTTCTCATCTAAATACTCCCACAATAGACCTCCTAAACTCCAGCTCTAAAGAAAAACAAAATAACATAAAACTCTCATCCTCAGCTCCTTCGTCCCCCTTTTCAACGACTTCAACTGGATCTTCTTACATACCCTTCCCACCCTTCTCTAACATCTCACCTGAACCCGCTTCCAGTGCAAGCACTTCACAACACTTTCCTCCCTCCACTTCTTTCTCATCTGAAACTATTACGAGTGCGACCACTTCCCAACACTTCCCTCCTTCCCCTTCTTTCTCATCTGAACCTACTTCCAGTGTAAGCACTTCACAGCACTTCCCTACCATCTCTTCTTTCTCGTCTGAACCCGTTTTAAGTGCAAGCAGCTCTCGACTGGAATTCACCCTTCCAAAAGATATCTCTCACGCAAACCTCTTCACTGAGACCGCCTTCAGACAAAGGCCCAAAACCAGATCAATCAATGAAGGCTTTGGAACCCTGATTCCTGGAGGAGCTAACACTGCTCCCTTCAGCCACGCACAGCATGGAGGGCCACACACTCACTTCAGCCACGCACAGCATGGAGGGCCACACACTCCTCCCTTCAGTCACGGACAGCATAACAGCAACAGGATTCCTGATGTCATAACATCGAACAAAAACGAAGGATTTGGCAAGTTCCACACGCGAGAGACGTCCAAAAAAGTCAATCCAGTCGATGGAACCACATTTAATTCACACTTCTACAGTCAAGCTAAATAGGGCGTCTATGTTTCCTAATTAGTAATTATTGCCATTGTTGACAATAAGGTTATTACTTAACTTTAATTTAAAAAGGTTTGTATGAAGATGCGCTGAACTAAAATTCTTCGTTCATTAATCGGTTAACTGGCGGAGCCTCAATCGCAGCATAATTGAAATGTATTCGCTGTGACATGCGCTAAGTTTTTAAGTTTCGAACCAAAGACAATATAAGAAACATTATTAAATAAGTGAAAGAATGAGAATATTAGTTGGCATGTAAGGTCTCCTGCTGCAGAGCCCCTTCTGAAGCTGTCCTTGCGATAAAATATATGCAGTTTTTGCAAATTTTTCCGCAATTATAATTATTCTATAAGTTGAGATTCGATAATTTTTTTAATTAAACGGACGTTGAAATATGCCATAGATAAAATTTGTCACTTTTTTATTGAAGTGTCATAAATTTTGAACATGAATTGATTTTGTATCACACTGCATGTGAAACAAAATAAAGTATATTTAATCCTAAACTGTATGAACGTGTATTTCTTTGCTAGCCACTTTTTCACAAAGGGAAATAAACATATTAAAGTATTAGAAATATTTTTTTATTCTACCCTTGCGACTTTGGAGAAGATGGTAGACGTTTCAACAGCTGTTCATTAGATTATGGTGCAGAAAATTTAGTTAAGTCTAAATGCCATAAAAAACAAAATCTTCGATTTTGCGCCAAATAAGCAACTCGATCAATATTCTTACGAGACCAGATTACAGTGAATTAAGTACGATTCCACAGGTATGAATAAAATTTTAAGGCTATTATATTACTATTGGAAAACTAGAGCTATTACTTGGGTCTATGATTTTAACCCTCTACCGCCTGACATGAGTAACCACTGTCACACAAGCCTAGCCGAAAAGGATCCGTTGCTAGCGAGCGCAAAATGACTTGCACAGATGGTTGCCGCCATGTACGACAACTTTAAAATATTCTCTTTTGCGTACAAACGTAATCAGGTTGCTACACCTCATAATTTGAGTTGAAAGTTATGTTCCTGGAGAGTGTCATACGGCGGTAGAGGGTTAGGGTGCATGTAGGCTATGTACATTGTATACTGCATGGTAAGGGACAAGTCGTGTTCTTTGAAACACCAAACGCACTCGAACCCCTCAAGCACGTGTGATAATATTAGTATATAGAGAGGGATATTGAAATATTGTTGTCACTGTAGAGAAAAATCATTTAAAAGTGAAAGAAAATTATATTGACAATGAATAAAAATTGGCGCATAGGCATTGAACAATTTTGAGCTGCAGTTTGATTGTGACATGAGTGAACTGACGTTCTGGTGACGGGTAACTGGACGTGCTAAACGCTATGAGAAGTAATTCAAATTGAAGAGAAATTTTGCATAATTTTGATTGCGGTTGTTAGAACTAGAATTTGCCAACGATTCATTCAATGCATTTTCGTTGAATCTTTCACTTAACACTCAATCTTCAGGCTGGGAAGGTTTTGTACTCGTGTTTCAGTATGCAAATATAATAATAAAAAATCTACATCAAGTTTTGTGATTTTGATAATAAATACTCTAACTTAGGTTACATAAACTAGCATAGTCTTGGTCCAGACCTAAATTTTTAATACTCGCGTAAAGAATCAGTGACTATAATTATCAGAGTGGAGAATTAAAAATAAATAATAAAGTATGAACATGTAGGAATCGTTAAATAAGAATTCACCAATGAAAATATAGCTCTAATTACTTATCAATTAACTCCGTGTAATAAATCTTAAGAAATTAATGCCTCTTCGAAAACAACAACTTCCAATGACGGAAAAATCACCGACAGCCGAGGACGCCTGCAATAGGACGAGCTGATGCGTGGGGAGCAACGCCGAAAATTTGAGTATGCATTTGAACTTTCAACGTAAAATCACACACCTTAAATTACTGATTTGTAATCTTTTGAAATGATTCCAACAGAAATATTTTTCTAAAATGCTGATATGATATATTGATGATTTTTAGCTATCGGATAATTTTAAGAAAACGTCACATAAGCCAAAAATCAAAAATCAACATAAGCCAAAAAAATCAACATCGGCTGTCCAAGCTTTTAATTTACATATTTGGGCTTTTAAATTGTAAACACTTTGACCTCTTTGTATGTCTACGCTTTTTGTTATTTTGCTTCTCGCGATCCTAAACTTATACATAACTTTACTTCATTTTTTCTCTTTTTACTCAAATTCGTTAGTTAAAAGACGATCCCAATAATCAATGGTCATTGTACATCTGCAACATTCCTGCACACGGTAACTTTATCATATCTAATCTAGATCAATTTCCATTTTGATCGTAGCTCAATTAATGGGCGATAACTCCTCTCCCGATCGCACTTTAAGTTCTTGGTCACTCCTTACGTCACTTTGTCTTACGTCAATCAATCAATCTCGTATCTAGATCATTTCACCCGTGATAGCGCCTAATGTTCCATAAGTTATTTCTCCGTCTTACTTCTCTCCATCAAGCATTCTCCAATCTTGATCCACTTCATCCTCGATCACACATATCGTTTTGTGTCACAAAGTCCTAAGTAACTCCATCATTCATTAATCAAGTCCAATTATACATCAACAAGTCCTTTTCACCTGTGATCGTTCATTACGTTTTTCATCATTCAGTCATACGTCATTCTGTTTTACATCGATCCGTCTTGCGTCACTCTATGACATTTGAATCCAAGTCCACTTCGCTCACGATCGCGCATTACGTTCTGCGTCACTTTGGTTTAGGTCACTTTGTCTCACGTCACTCCGTCTTACGTCACTAGGCCATACATCACTTTGTTTTACATCACTCCGTCATACATCACTCCGTCTTACATCACTCCGTCTTACATCACTCCGTCATACATCACTCCGTTTTGCATCACTCCGTCATACATCACTCCGTTTTACATCACTCCGTCATACATCACTCCGTTTTACGTCACAAGGTCTTATGTCGCTCCGTCTTCCGTCATTTCATCTTTACGCCGCTCCGTCTTACGTCATTTCATCTTTACGCCCCTCCGCCTTACGTCATTTCATCTTACGCCACTCCATCATCCGTCACTCCATCACTCTCGAATTAAAGTTTCATTTCCCCCGGTATCACGCAATGCGTTGCCAACAAGTGCGTGGGGCAAGACAATATCAGCGTTCACTGGAGCCGCCTCTTGCTGGGGGGCACAAAGTCGCTCTTGTAGGCGGGCACGACGCACGGGTGCTGGGGTATCTGCTGCAGGTTCTTGACACGACGCGCCCGCAGGCACAGCACCAGACATGCTGCCGTCAACAGACCCAGCAACACCGTCACTGCGCCTGCGCGTCAAGTTATTATTATTAATATTGTTTTTATTATTTCAATATTAATTATAATTACTATAATAATAATATTAATAATAAAAATGACCAATATTTTTATTATGTTATTATAATATACTATTTATATTATATTATATATTATTTTCGTTTTAATCTCGTTAAACGAATAAGGCAAAAAAATAATAATTATTACTATTTTTATTATAACTATTACTATTTGAAGCGTTTGTCGTGGCGTCTGATTCAACCGATCTTCGAGAGCAAGTTACGAATTGATGGAGCTATGAACAATTTAGATAGCAAGTGGTTATGTGTACGATACAAATTTTGTTCATGGAACTTGTAAATTTCTTTAATGAGTTTCATTCAGGGAAATTTTGTGTGCTGAAAAAAAATTAGTAAAGGGATGCACAAACGAAATAAGTGCAAATGATAAATCATTATGTTAAATGTGAACATTACTTAAACAATTTATATCGTTGCAAAGTTATAAAGATGAAGAGATAATCAAATGGCTGAAAGGGACGAAACAGTTTTAGGAGTTAAAACTTGGGTTAGGAAACATTGAATGATAAAGTCATAGCAGTAGCACATATTAAATCTAATTTCATAAATGCAATTTTCGAAGTATTTTCTAAGTGTTATTTATTTACAAGAAAATTTCATGCAGAAAGTCATGAGTTCGCAATATGCAGTGTTATAGACTTTGCAGTTGAAATTTTATTCATTGATAATATTTACCTTTTTCATTCAAAGAAAAATTTACCTTATTAGGACATTCGACCTAAAGATTTATAGTGAGAACAGTGATCATAACGATCATTACCATAGTCACGTCTGACGAATAAAAAATTATATAAGTGAGAACTATTGTGAGGGAAAAATATGCAATATACTAAATAATTCAAGCACCTCGAATAAATCTATTGAGTCTTAGCCAACAAATTAAAAATTTTCAAAAGCCGCCTCACCTGCAGCCGCAGAAAAGGTTCCGTTTTTTAGGCACACCGAACCTTCCAGCTGGTTAACTGCTCAGAAATTATTTAAAAATTATTTTAAATTATTTAAAAAACGAATTAGAATTTAAAAATTTATGAATTGAGCATGTATAAGAAGTGAAATGAATTTGAACGTAGGTTCCTCCACTGGTCATGTTTATGGGATCGCTATCTCATAAATACAGTAAAGGAGCAAATGAAAAATTGTAAATGCTCAAAATGCCTATAATTCTGTAAACAATTCACTTTGAAGATTACCATTATAGTATTTTTCATGAAATTAATATCTTTAAAATGTATAATATGTACATATTTATAAAAGAAAAATATTATATTCTATCTCTCCAATGCAATGTAACGTAAAGACTAATTCACCGAATTGAGAAAAGCAACAAGAAATTTGTTAACAAGAAATACTCTCTGGCCATCAACGAAATTTGCATTAAAGAAAGATTCTGTTTACAAAACATATATGCATAAACATATACATCTATACAAGTTTGATTGAAGACCAGAGCATGCTTTTTACTGATAATTTTCTTGTTCGTTTTTCAATGAATATTAAATCTAGCAATCATTTAATATTAAATCTATTACTACTATTATTAAAATGTCATTTGGAAACCTGCTTTTTGATCTCCCGGCGCCAGCAAGAAATTTTCTTCGACTCAGGGACAAAACAAACAAGAAAACTAAACATATACATGTATACAATTATAACTCAACAAAATATATATGCCGCACGAAAAATACTACAAGCAAAATACTGACGAAGAGGGAGGCCGGCGGTAGCAAAATATATATGCCTCACGAAAAATACTACACGTAAAATACTGACGAAGAGGGAGGCCGGCGGCAGCAAAATATATATGCCACACGAAAAATACTACAAGCAAAATACTGACGAAGAGGGAGGCCGGCGGCAACAAAATATATATGCCCCACGAAAAATACTACAAGCAAAATACTGACGAAGAGGGAGGCCAGCGGCAACAAAATATATATGATACACGAAAAATACTACAAGCAAAATACTGACGAAGAGGGAGGCCGGCGGCAGGCTCGTCGTCCCTCAAGACGTGCAGGGCCTGGAACAGGTTCAGGGACTCGGAGACGTTGCCTGACGAAGGCGCGTCAGAAGACGACGACACGGAGCGTCGGTCGCGGCTGTTGCGCTTCCAGTGGCACGGCTGCGGCTGCGGAGGACACGAAAAAGGGAGAGAGTATAGTCAAGAGGAGAGGGACGATATGAGGAATAATATAATGGAGATTTGATTTAATGGTTTGATATGTGAAGAAAAGTTTTTGGACACATTTCTTGAAGCCAACGGGACACCTCCATGATACGACACTCCTGATAAGAGACAAATGGAAAAACTTGAAGAACCCACACGTGTAATTTTAAAAAATTAGAAGATGTCTTTCAACGCTAATTCAATTAAAAAAGTTTCAGTAACATTCAAGTTACAAGACCTGTGATAAAGACACCAGTGAAATACTTTCATCGTAGCTAGACACGTACCGGACACTCTCCGTGGCACATGCGGACGTCGCACTCGATGTATAGGGCGGGGGAGCCCGTGAAGCGGAAAGTCTTCATGAAGGCATACACTTGAGTCTCGAAGTGACCATCGTCCGAACGCGTGCCTTCGAAGTGGCTGATGAGCTTCTCATCTACCGGACAACTGGAAGAAACATAACTCTGTATTAACTACATTTTGAATGAAAATTTAGGCGCTGACTTTTTCCTTTCGTATAAGATTCAAAAAGTATTGTCCGTCTTGTCTATCAATCGACTGGAGAAAATATAACTCTTTAGCAAATAGTTTCTGAAGAGAAATTCTTGCTTTGATTTTTCTCGCACAGGAATCATAAATTTGCAGCTAACGCAAAAGCAAGCCAATGAAATTTATAGTAATTGAAGGTAGTAACTTACTGACACCGCAGGTCTTTATTTAGTTAAACTTTTTAGAATATTGTTCGATATATCTATGACGTACAATGCAAAACTCAGACAAATTCGACAGCAAACTATTTATTTTAATGCAGATCATTATACTTGCATGGAATGCTTGTGACTCACCCGTAGTGATCTATCAAGCTGATCCTCTTGTGGCCGCCATTGTGCGCGAAACAGTCACTCACGACGATGTCAAATCCGTCTGTAAGATGAAAAAAATTAGTCGCTAAATTTAAAAAATATAACTCAGTACTCACTGAGTGAGTGACAGAGAGCGCATTTTCTCGTCGACGAAAATGGGAAGTCACGGACAGACAGACGGACAGACGGACGGACGGACGGACATGGCGAGCATAATAGTGCATTTTTCCATAATGATAACAGAAATATCACTGATGATTAATGATACGACGATTATGTACAGGACAGATTTGAGGTTTTATTAAACAAATGTAAGCAGTTCAATAATTTTAGGCTTCCAATGACACGGAGTCGAGACTGGTGATGAATCCTGATTTATTGAAATAATTTGCAATTCATATGTATCTCGATTCGAATAGTGTAAATGAATGTAAAAAGTCCACTCAATTTTATGTGCTATAAAATTGACATCAATTCTTTTTCTGTAATGAGGCATTGATATTGAGGCTCACGTACAAGTAGCAACCGATATCTCGTCAGTGATTGGAGGGTTTAGCTTGAAAAGCTTTCAGTTATTGGCAGACCGAGTTTCGAAATCGTAATTGTTGTTGATAGTAAGGAGAAAAAATGGATGGGTTTATTTTGTTGGAGACCATATATAAATAAAGTATATAAAAGTAATTAAGAACGAGAACTGACCCAGCTCGGAGCGCATGTAGATGACGAGGGTTAGCGGGTCCCCAACCCTCACAGGGCCCGTGATGCGGTTACCCGTAGTGCCGTAGCCGTAACGGATCTCCATGTGACACTCGGGAGGAGTCAGGGTAAATACTACAGGGTTACCCGTCTGCACCCTGAAAATATTAGCGAATACTATGAGGTTACTCTTTCATATGATTATAATATGATCATGTATGTAGAAGAATTAGTTAACCTCGCTTTTACGTTTAAATAGCTTGACTCTAAGGAGAGGAGTCATTCTCCCGAGGTTATTGAGATATTTTGATGATACAAAATTGAGCTTAACGATGACTCAAATGATTAAGTGAAAACAATAGTACTCTGCAAACCGTTATCAATTGATAACAATTTTATCTTGCACTGCCTCCTCTCCTCTCCCATCCCCCATATAAAGTGAAAATTTTCACTTAAAAAAAGTATTTGGAATCCCTCTCGTCAGCCCTCACTCACTCGACGTCTAGAAAGGGGAAGGTGACAGTCTTCCAGAAGTCGTAGCCGTACTCGCACGTCACCTTGAAGTGCTCGTCCCACTCTTCCTCAATGAGGGGGTTGTATTGTACCGTCAGCGTGTTCCACATCATGTTTTTCTGCACGTCAGAGTTTCAAGCAATCAATGAATATAGTTCATTAATGTATCATTGTTTCAAATGCCATCGTTCTCATTCACGAACTATGTAGATGTTATATGGAGGAAGAGGCACTCGTTGTGAAATTTGGCGCAAATTAGGGTAATTCACTCAACAAAATGTATAACAAATAATGTGTAAGCCATTAAATAATTTTAGTTAAAAGGGATTCAGTGATGAGTTGAGCAACCGCTTCTTCTCCGTGAACTCATTAAAAATGAAAAAAAAAATATGAGAAGAGCTGAAGGCTGAGCATGCAATGTGGCGCAGCATGGTTTTGACGTTGAAGCAAATTTGATTAAACGTCGTTGTTTCAAAATAATTAACTCTTAATCAACATTGTTTCATTGAAATCAACTCGTAATCAACGTTGCTTACTTGAAATCAACTCGTAATCAACGTTGCTTCATCTAAATCAACTCGGAAACAACGTTGCTTCATCGAAATCAACTCGTAATCCAAGTTGCTTCATCGAAATCAACTCAATCAACGTTGCTTCACCAAAATCAACACGTATTCTAAGTAACATCATTGAAATCAACTTGCAATCAACGTTGTTTCATTGAAATCAACTCGTAATGAAAGTTGCTTCATCGAAATCAACTCGTAATCATCGTTACGTTATCGCAATCAACACGTAATAAACTTTACTTCAACGTAAAGTTAATTACAAACTTCTTACCATCGTACTTCAACTTTACTTTGCAAACTCCCTACCTGCGTGGGGCGGCCGCGGACGTCTAGGTCGCCCCGCTCGTTGCCTCCGAGTGTACCGCATCGGTTCAGTTGGATGTGGAAGTCGTACAGATGGCGGCCCGATCCGTTCACGTATATGCACTCGCGGTCGTACGCGTACCCTGAACGAGCGAGCAACACAAATGTAAATATATGTACACAATGGTAATTAATTTTCATATAATTACAATGGGGACCAAAATGAACGGTCAACATAAATTTTAATCCATGCATCAAACGAAAATTAATTTACAAATATTCACAATGTGGTCCTAAATGAACGGTCAACATAAATTTAAATCCATGCATCATAGGAAAATTGATGTACAAATATTCACAATATGGACCTAAACGAACGGTCAATACAAATTTAAATCCATGCACCATTTAACAGTTAATTTACATATATTCACAGACCTAAACGAACGGGCAATACAATTTTAAATCCATGCATAATTTAACAATTAATTTACATATATTCACAGACCTAAAGTCTAAACGAACGGTCAATACAAATTTAAATCCATGCATAATTCAACAATTAATTTACATATATTCACAGACCTAAACGAACGGGCAATACAAATTTGAATCCATGCACCATTTAACAGTTAATTTACATATATTCACAATGGGGACCTAAACGAACTGTCAACACAAATTTAAATCCATGCACAAAATAATAGTTGAACAGTTAACAGTTTTAAAATCCAGTCTCTGGTCTACAATCTAACTGGCATAGACGAACTACTTTTGCCAAAATATACCAATATTCGCACTCATGCCCCGGCAGTGAAAGACGAAAATAACAGTTAATGTTACAAATTCAAAATAGGGGTGTATATTTGGAGTAGATTTTCCTCGTGTAGTATAATTTTCAACAGAGAAATCGGTAAGGTATTTTACCTGCGCTGTAGATGAGCCCAGTGAAGGATCCGTTGAATTGCGTGTGGATGCGCATGTAGTCGTCCTGACACTCCGCCTCGATGTCTGTGTGATGGAATAAATATTATGGAAAGTATCATTGAATTGATCAATGAACAGGGACAATAAACATTGATATATTCAAATTGTTATCTCTCTTACCATAAAATTATTTCTAATGACACTCCGCCTCGATATCTGTGTGATGGAGCAAATATTATGAAAAATATTCTAGAATTGATCAATGGACATGGACAACTACAATTGATTTATTCCAATTGTTATCGCTCCAACAATAAAATTATTTCATAGTTCATGGTAAAGTTGCCAGCAGTATGATTTTCAAAGAATGCAGAATAGGTGTTTGACGACTATAGAAGGAAGGAGGGTGGTTATAATGGCAGTTTAATGTTTAATGAATATATTGGGGAACTTGGGCCGAAGCCGGCAACGTGAGCGGGTGCTTAAACGTCGGGGACATGCCACCAACAGGGGTTATCAAAGCTTCCTTCACTAAATTTTAAAATATGAGTGACATTCAATAGTAGCTATTGCACTAAACATTCATTAGTTGCACCAAACACGAACCATGCAGGTTCAAGATGAAAAGATGCAGTTATGTGGGAAATCATTTAGCTTAAATAAAAACATTTTTGAAATTGAGATGTGCTAAAGTGCAACCGTCCCACATGAAACAATTTCAAAATATATTTTATGTATTAAATTAAGGCGTGGTAGAAGTCGTAACTCACGCGTGACTCTTGTCATGTTGAGAGCAGGACGAGCGATCGCTCCGTCGCTTCTCGTCCGAGAAAACGGCGATGGCGGGAAATCGAGCGCTTCTTTTCTGACTTCCGAGTTTCCAGGAGACCGGTAGGGTTTACGGTTAGGGAAGGATGAGCGGTACGGTTGCCCGGCATGATACCTGGCGCTGCCTATCTCATTGTTGAGTTTATCTTCCCTGCCCTGAAGTACGGCCGAGGCAACGTGCCCAGGCATGTGCACGGTACGGCCAAGACCAGTCCTGACGTCGTCAAGGGTCGTAGGAAAATCAGCTGTAGGGAAGGCCACGTCAGCGGCGGTCACGTCACGGATGGATGGGAAATTTGACGTTGAGGTCGAGGCGGTGCCTGTGAGGTAAATGTCCGCTGATGTCGAGATTTGCTGACCATGAAGCTTCGTTAGCAAGCCTGGGATCTTTGCAGCGGCCTCAGGATCATCAGCAAGGAAAATAACCTGCAAAGACGAAAGCTCTAAGGGGTACAATTGAGGAGATCAAGCGAAAACTGTTGTAGGTGAAATTTACACGGATCAAAATGTTACTTTAAAATATTCAGATATTAAAACTTCAAATATGATAATTCTAGGTTGAAAGTTGCGGTTAATGCAATCATTTCTAGAAGCTAATTCATTCATTTTCTATGTAATTAATAGTACGACAAAAAACATGGAAGCTAATTATTTTAGCTACAACACATTTGGATAGAGAGATCTACCTTTTTCCAGTCGCGTCACCAAAACATGTAAATTCCAAAGATTGGACAAGTTTAGATTTTTTTCGTTTCATAGATCGAACTATTAAAGAAATTTACCTGACCATCCCTTGATGGCAGCCTGATCAAGGCTGAACGATCGGTTTCGTTTTTATGATTGTTTTTAACTTCTTTCTTCTTATCAAGAATTGAGTTACTTCCGATCTCAGATGCTGGTCCAAGAGGGCTTGTCATCGTATCGCTGGCAGTGGTCAAAATGGAATACGTGGACGAGAACAGCGACGTTGATGACTCGGTGACCGGGCTTGACCTCCGGTGCTCAACTGCCTGGTCTCTGGTTTTCTTGAAATCCGAAGGATCCTTCCAGATTTTCTTCTTGAATTCTTGCGACTGATCAGTCCGGCGATCACCATCGTCGAACATGGGGAGCGTCTCTGCCATGGTTGCGTCAGTTGACGTCGAGTCTAGGTTGGTCCCAGATATGTCCTGAGTGGACGACTGCAGTCCTGCTGTTGTACTGGTCATCGCGGAGGAGACCGATGCGAACTGACCAGTCGTCGTTTCTTGCATCGTGACGCTGGTTTGCCCTACAACCGGAACGTATTTTCCAGTAACCGCCGGTTCCGTGGGCCCTGAGGATGAGCTCAAGAAGACAGTGGATGGCATTGCCTCAGCTGACGTTCGTGCTGACCGAGGCAACAGCGACGGGGGAAGGGTGACGAAGAGTTGACGATGACGTCGTGACATGTCGAATGATCGCCGCAATTTCGAATGATTGGACATTCCGAAACATTCGTACGCTAGCAGCGCCAGCACACACACCAGTAACCGCATGTTTGATGGTCGGTTGCCTCGTGTCTGAAAAATAATAAAGCATCTTGTAGTAACGAAACATACATGGCCAACTGCGTCTGATTTAAGCGATTGAGATTACAATTACATTTTTTTCATATCGTAGTCTATGCACGATCTGTCGACTCGGGACTTGAGTCTTCAAATCACGAGATCGAGTTTGCATTTCATTGAAAAGTGCTGGAACCAACACTTGCCAATACTTTAAAATTAAATTTACTGCTCGTATTAAGGTACATTTTATTGTTAAACTTCAACAAACAAGCACACTGTTTGCAATTTCCAGAGTTTTCACGAATGTGCAATTTTCCGAGTATTTAGTAGAATATTTTGTACTTGGTAGACTACTCAACCAGCACTCAGCCGAATAAGAGTACTCATTAGAATACGAGCGAGTACTCAGTAGAATACGGATACTCAATAGAATACGAGTACTCAGTAGAATACGAGTACTTAAAATACTTACTTAACACTCTGCAGAATACGAGTACTTAATAGAATACGAATACTCGGTAGAATAGGAGTACTCAGCAGAATAAGAGTACTCAGTAGAATACGAGTACTCAGTAGAAAAAGAGTACTCAGTAGAATACGAGTACTCAGTAGAATGCGAGTACTCAGTAGAATACGAGTACTCAGTAGAAAAAGAGTACTCAGTAGAATACGAGTACTCAGTAGAATGCGAGTACTCAGTAGAATAAGAGTACTCAGTAGAATAAGAGTACTCAGTAGAATAAGAGTACTCAGTAGAATACGAGTACTCTGTAAAATACGAGTACGCAGTAGAATACGAGTACTCATTAGAATACGAGTACTCAGAATACTTAGCACTATGCAGAATTCAAATGCTCAGTATAATAAAGCTACCGCCCTGTCGTCAGTTTAGTTCCGTGCTTGTAATTGACGTGCGATACTAACGGCTTAATGCTCACCGCGCGTACTCCCTGTGACATGCCAGCACGCTAGGCGGTCCTGTATCCTTAACAGTTAAGTCGTCCTGTCGAGACTGGCGGTTACTGCCGTCGCTCTGATATCAAAAGCTCTAATATATAAGATATCTTGGAATATTTATTCTAAAATCAAATAAAGTTACTCTAATGTTACTCGGAAATCTAAGAAAAAATACATACGATGTCTTAACTACAACGCATTTGAAAACGTCTAGAGATCGATATGAACTTATCTACAGTTTCTTTTTCAATCTCAATCAAATTTGTGCTGGGATGAACTTTGTCATAAGCAAACATTTGCAGAGCAGTCATTCGATAGACGCTCTGCAAATCATAAAAGATGATAGTTAATATATTGTTGCGACGAGTTTACATAATATTAAAGCGTTAGCTATGTAGCAATGGTAAAAGGAATTCCAGCTCCAGTTTCATTGCACTTTGATACGGCGCTCAAGTCGCAGTTTACTGAAAATGAACTCTTTCATTAATATATTAATAAGCGGTCAAGTTCGAGTTCCCACAATCAATTTTCACAATGAAAGTGCTAAAAAATGTACGATAATAATGAATAATTAATAGTTCCGTGACCTCAATTTCTACCAAGATGAGAAACCAGCAACTCATCATGAAATTTACTACGAGATGTTTCATAAAAATAAAAACAAAATATTAGAAGCAAATCGGATACATACGTTACTCTGATCTTGAAGGTTCATTCGCCTTATCCGAAATACATTTGCTCATACTTATGACACTAGCCCTTTCGAATAGTATTCCTGTATAAAATGCAAAAGTGAACAATACATAGCGAGTCCGATTGACTACATCGCATTTGTTCGGTGCGAGGATGAAAAGTTTGCAGCCGCGCGCTTTATGATGAATTGGGCTGCGGTGAGGGGGCCGCACCCACTTCGCGACCTAACGGAACGAAGGGTGTCGTCTGCACGTCACTCGTCGCGCTGGGGGAGAGTGTGACGTGAGGATGTTCAGGGAACATTCTCACGATGAACATCCTCTATCCTCCTGAATGTTGAGTGTTAAGTGAGTAGTGCACATGTAAATAAAACGTGAAGTAATAGTTCAACCATGGTGTGAAGTGACCATAGTAATTCATGTATCGTATGGAGAAGAATGAAAAATGCTGAGGAGGCAAACTGTCCAAGTCCAGACTAGCTAGACCGTACAAACTATCCACACATGCTTAAGTACGTGTAGTGTCCTAAGTACACGTAGCGGCCGATTTATCGTATTTGATTTGAGGGTTTAGCTCGAAAAGCCGTCAGTGATTGGCTGACGGAGTTAAGAGTTCTCAACTTTTCTGATAGTTTGGCCCTGTCAAACTGCCGTCCTGAAAAACATAAGACAAAAATCGTTACGAACAAAAAGAACGTAACCTCAGAAATTAATTACTTTATTATTGATGCCTCGTACACTTCTTATATTTAAAATGAGTTCCCTTTGCTATATATCTAAAGGGTTGAAGGGACTAGGACGTCAAAAACACGCCTATTGCTTTACAAAAACTGAAAAGCTTATATATGAGCCACACTTGTGGCGGTAGAAGCGACACCTTAGCAATTTTTTAGCGAAAAGTGTTTGGTAGTGCAAACTATAAGCGCCTTTTTCGATCATCTATTTGAGAACCCTGGCAGCATACTGGAAGATTTAAAGTGTTTTACTCAATTTTTGTGTTTAAGAAACGCATTTGGGAGTCACCTCATTTGGTGTTAAATTAAGCCATATTGTTTTGAGTAAAAAGCCATCCATGCAGGTTATAGTTACTCAATACGGTCATAAAGAACTATGGAAGATAAAATTTTTTTATTAATGATTCATTCACGGTGTGATGAACATAATAAGTTTTTTAAATAGTTAGGTTAACGCTAAATTGGCCTTGCCTATGTTCCTCGTAAAGTTCAAATGAACGGTATAAGGTTTCACCTTTCTGTTCCACGTAGCCGAATAATCATTTCGACACAAAAGACTGTGAAAGTGTAGCGTTAGTTTCACGGCATCTACCTTATACTCTACTCAAATTATGGTCATAAGAGTAATGTTTAAAGAAGACAGCAGACTGAGGAGATAAATGCCAAATTTCATACACGACACGATCTTCATTACGTACAGCCGAGCGTGACACGGATCGAGTAGCTTCACGTGCGCGCTACTTTACAGATATTCGCATTTTATATTTAGTTATTATAACTTCATATTTATTAGAAAAACAGTTGAATAACTAAATTTAATTTCGAGTTTATCATCTACGCTCAAACTAAATCGTACCGCAATTTTTCTTCTGTAATTTTACCCGGTGTCCCAAAAAAATGTTCCCAACTTTCTAGTTGTTATATCTACACTTCAAATTAACATCATTTAATTTTAATTTTATGTTTGTTATGAATAGTACATTTTAGTAACAAATATGAAATTGTGAAAAATAATAAGATTTAAATTTTTAATTTAAAGCAGGGATATATTGAATTAAAAGAAGGGGACATTTATGTGGGACAGCCTGAATATTAATACAGATACTCAATACGCAGCGTTACCAAGAATTTTGAGAACTTTTATTGTGAAGTAATACCAGAAATAAAAATATATCACTTTCATCCTCCCGATTAATGGAATTATTAAATTTGTTCCTAATTATATTCGAAATTTCCTGTGCAGTTAAATTTTGTAAAAGAATAGTTTTTCAGTGACGATTATTTAACTAAAAGCTTATTTGCTGGAAGATCAGAATTCAGAAGGAAATATATGAAACTAAAAATAAGGAAAGAATCGAATTCAAGAAAATAGTATCTATCAGATGCGTATAAATATTCAAGTTTGTGGAAAAAGAATGATGAATGTGCGCTGTGGGGACTGAATAAAGAAATGTAGGCTGTATATAATTAATTTTATACAATTAATTTTAATAATAAATAATTTTATTGTATATAAATAATTATATAAATAATTAATTATAATATACATTTATACTTGATTAATTATATTATTATGCCTAATGTTAATTCTACAATATGCATAGGAAGCGCTAAAGTAAGACATCGCAATTTTGAGGTCGAAGAGAACCAGGTTCCGTAAAGTAGAGAATATATGCATATAAGCACCGTATTCAGCGTGTTCAGTAGAGCGCACGCTCAGTCGAATGCGCGTCAAGAGCGTCGGTGACACACTTAGCAATCTCGCGTAGTCTCGTGTCGACTGACGTAGTAGAAGTCTCGCAAATGAATAAGAATGTGTAGGATAAATTAGTTATGTTTAAAATCAACGTCAACAAAGACAATAAATCTAGAGAAGTTAAGTCTGGATAGTAAAGAAAGTGTAGAAAACTATTCGATAACAAACCTAGAAGTTACTTGTGCTTCTGAGGCTACATATAGGGTTCAACCTTAACTTAATAAATTATTTAGCATTTGTGATAATCCTAAAATTGAAAAAACTTTAATGAGATAAATTGAACATAGCGCAGTCTTCCCCAAAACACTCGTTCAAGAAAATAAATCAGGTTTCTCATAGGCTAAAATAATTTATTCCAACATTGTTTTCAGCTCGTTCGATCCCATTGTAGGAAGTGGACACAGCAACACAGATTCATTGTTTCGTTCATATTGTGAATCATGGATACAAATTGTTCAATAAACAGTAAAATGGAATAGAAAGAAAGCTACTTCGAAATAATCCGGTTGAACACAACGTGGTTCAACACTCAGCGTTGACGGGATTCAACAATTTCTTTTGAATTCATTGAAATTTTTCCGCGCACTTAAAGAAGAATTTATATTTTAAAGTGTACTTAAATTTAATCTTAATTTAATTTAATTTAAAATGATTTTCTTTCAGAATTTTTTATAAGCGGAAGAAGCTTTACCTTTTCAATTGGTATTTTTTGCTCTATACTTCAGGAATATTATATAAGTTTGTATAGTTTCTTTTCACAATTTGATATGTGAGATTGCTCAATACAAAATATTTTAAGCACAATGACCTCATTCATAAAATTTTCAAATACAATTTACTCCAATCAAAAAAATTGTTAAATATTTATGATTAAATATACCATAAGATTCGTAATTGGTGCTTCTAATAGCCTCATAAATTCGAATTTATAAAGATTTCAATGTCCGCCCGTTCAACATTTAACAATATAAACAAATGAACAGTTTTAGTGACAAGTATTGCTTCTGTTGACTTGGTAATATTGTTTCTGATAGCTAGTACTAAACTGACATAATTGATATTTAACTTATAGTTGTTGCTTAACTGATATAATTGATTCTTAACTTAAAATTAATATTTAATTGCAAACTGATAATTGTTGCGTAACTCATAATTGATGTTGACTGATTTTTATTGCGTAACTGGTATAATTGATGAATAATGTAATTTAAATGAATATTTAACCGATAATTGATAACTGATGGTTAATTGAAAATTATTATTCAATTGCTAACTGATAGTTGTTGCTTAATTGATATAATTGATGCCTAACTGAAAATTATTATTTATTTGCTAACAGAAGATTGATGCTTAACTGATAATGGTTGCTTTACTGATAAAATTGATGCTTAACTGATATAATTGATTTTAACTTGAATTAATGTTCAACCGATAAATATAATTGATAATTGATGCTTAATTGGACATTATTATTTCATTGCCAACAGATAATTGATGCTTAACTGATAATTGTTGCTTAACTGATATAATTTATGCTTAACTGAAAATTATTATTGATGTTTAACTGTTAATTGTTGCTTAACTGTTGTTATTGATGCTTAACAGATGTAATTGATGCTTAGCAGAAAAAACAGCGTTGGAACACATCCATGAGACAACATTTCTTCTCGCTTCGAGATTCTATTCTATTCTATTCTATTCTATTCTATTCTATTCTATTCTATTCTATTCTATTCTATTCTATTCTATTCTATTCTATTCTATTCTATCCCATAAAAGATGCTTAACTGAAATAATTGATGCTAATCCGAAAACTGATAACTGATAAACCCCAATTTTTTTATGGTCTTATCTTACCGAATATTATTTATTATGAGTGCCCTTACGAGATAATTCGTGTCAAAAGAGGACGGGTGGGGGTCACAGCTGAATAACCCCATCCGTGGGCAGTTGAAAGGGTCCAGTCTTTTTCCATATATTCATCATTATAAATGTTTTCCCAACCGTTGTTTGTATTTTTCCTCGCGACGACGTTATTTTTGACATTTTTAAGACTATAAAAGATAGATTATTCCTTTATTTACGGTCATTAATAATTCAATTTCTCTACTTCAGTTATTTTGAGAAGGCTATAAAATATTGTAATTGAAAAATAATTGTTATTTATTGACACATCGATTCGTCAGTATAACCTCTAATGAAGTTGAACTTTTTTCATGTGGCCGTCATTCCCTCTAAAAATATAACATGAAGATTTTGCATGCTTTTTGCCTTTTTATATGCAAAATCCAAGAGCCTTGGGCGTATTTTGGCATTGAATGTCTCGAAAACTTTTATTAATATGGAAATGCTAATGGAAGATATAGAAGGATTACAATTTAAAATTCAAATAAAGGGTTAAAATTAATCAAAGTGAACACTTCCCCAGTCTTTGCATGTCACTGCCAATGAGCAAAATATGTTCAAGAATAAATATGTGAGCAAGAATATTTTTGAGCAGGAATATTTGTGAGCAAGAATATTTGTGAGCAAGAATATTTGTGAGCAATGAGCAAGAATATCTGTGAGCAAGAATATTTGTGAGCAGGAATGTATGTGAGCAGGAATATTTGTGAGCAGGAATATTTGTGAGCAAGAATATTTGTGAGCAATAAGTTCAAGATGGCCAAGTGTTCAAGATCACCAGAATTGGAGCCCCGAATTAGAGGTTCGAAACATACAATTAGTTGAATAATTTGCGGTCGAAATCAGCATAGTAAGTGGGTAGTTAAAAATCGGCAATAATCAAAAGTGACACTAATAAATTCTTATTTAATTACTGGCGGCGTTCATCAGTATAGATAAAACCTGCGATTTTAGAGTCCCACTATCCTGAATCCCATCATTAACGTTGTCCCGAATATCAATAATAATAAGGCGTTGACGTAGGTTCACGAAAGAATTACCCGTTAAATACACATAATACATAGAGCACAGAACTCCCTATTGACTTTAGTTTCAAGTTTAAAAAAATTATCTTCCGACTTCTTAAACTTAGTTTCATATATGTTTAAAAAAAATCTAAGAATAAAATTTTAATTCTGGATCCAATCCCTTCCTCCCAGTTTATCGATGCCCTGCTATTCTCCCACTAAGTACGAATTGTAAGCTCCAAGCAATATGATACGATGAGTATCCTGGTAAGTGTCCCAACAACCCATATATATTTGTAGAGCCAGACTTCAATCACATAAATTGATTCATGCAAACACAAACTTCAACGAATGAGTTCGAAAAACTTTTTACAATACAAAAACCTCTGTACAATTCAAGATCGACACAAGAGCTCATGTCTTAAGATGACCGCTTCTCATTTATCAAGTCACATTTGTCATGATCTTATGCATTTTAATAAAGATAGTTGCTGAAATTTGTAGTCATTTGTCATTTAATGGGCTCTACTTTTGATAACATTGTAGAAACCGCACGAACTTAAGAAGCTCTTCTTACGCTTTTTGAACATATGAATAAGCTCAGAATAGCATGATTTTTTATCAAAGAACAAACTTATTCTGAGGGTATCGATTTTCATAGATCAAAGTAAAAATGTCTGCTTGCATTTTTGCCACTTAATCGAACGCAAAAATGAAGTTAAACGACAAACCAGCGCACGTTTACAAGCTCGGGCAAAAATTTACTGGACTCGAGCGGTTACCATTTTGAATCGAGACCAGAAATCAAGAAAAGTGAACTGAAAACAATCAAACATATCATTATTATTCATATTACTCACCAGTTCCTAGTGAAACCCTGGTGCTGTTGCTTGCGTTGAAATTCTTTGGTTAGATGAAATTGAAGCTGAATATAAGTTTTAGGGATCAAATAATTGATCAACGAAGACTGAAGTTTATAGCCTCAGCATCACTTATTCCCCTAAAGTTAACGAGTGTTAGGCTTAAATGTCCCTATTGCCGATCTAATATATTGTTTTGCCTTCTTTTCACAGTTACCTTCAAAATAATCTCAATACTAATCGCATTATTTGCACAACTTTTCAATTTTAAAATCAGTAATGAACGATGGAATTTTGACTTAAAACTGTCATTTTATACTTTGGTAGAAAAATAAATAAGATTTTATTTTCAAGGCTTGATATTGACGGCATTCACTCGAATCACAGCACCGGCATGAACATGGAGCAGCGCACACCTCACACCATGACGGCCAAGGCCCGAATGATTCTTGAGGTGGTTCACTCCTCATCCCTCAGCCGCCTCATCTTCGCTGAACTTCGACCGGCCAATGGCAAGACGTCATTGCTGAGATTCACACAATTACCATTCAATGAAAGGCTGTGTAGCCATTAATCCACACAGCGGATAGGAAAATTGAGTGAATGAGCAAGCCATTGACACGGTGTACTGTATAAGTGTTGCTCGCATGGACGATTGTAAGTCTTGAGCATCAGAGAAACATGCGGTCAGTTAACGGTCGCATGCAAATTGATGAACATCTATGAATTCTTTGCGGATCTCTCAGCGCAATATTCAGCGGTCATATAACGGCATGTGCACCGATAAATTCACTTGAATGCAATGCTTTGAAATTATTCATGACCCTCGCTAAACAATTCCGTATGGTTTTTACGCAATTGCTTGTGTCGGCATTGCGGACGGTCTTGTACCCTAAGAATATCATCTTCTCAAGTCTCATTACCTTAATGCTAATAGTATTATATAATATTCGCCCTATTGAACATCGCTTTAAGGCAGACAATAAGTTATATAGTCAGTCTTTGATTGAAGATTTTAGCTCAAAACATCGGAGAAGAAATGAAATCGATTCGATGCTCGTCGGGCCTAAGTGAAAAACATACTATAAATTATAAATTAACACTGCGCGATTAGACTGAATTAAGGAATTTACACTATGGAATTGATTCATTGAACGTAAGGTTATATTCGAAATGAGATGAGTAGAATTGATCACTGGATTCGTCAAATTTAGGATTTTTATTTAGGTTTTTGTTTTTGTTTTGTCACAATAAACATTAAGCCTTCTATTACAAAGATAAAACAAATTTCCATCAATGCTTGTTTAAAACTATGATGCTGATTAACTTGTCGGTCAACGTTGATAATTCCGTACATTGGAAGCCGGAAAGACTTGCAAAGATGAGCTATTTAAGAGAGTGCGTTGACACTTGCCAGCACGTACGTCCTAGATTATGAATGATGTCACCTGGTTATTGTTTAATTGAGTCTTGACAAGTTTAATGATCGTTCTGTCTCGTTTAGTTATTCGTGACATGTTCTCAAATATTCTAGCGCTGTACGAACCTGTTATATATGCTAAAGTATTAATTATTTCTATATGTGAACTCAACAGCCATGAAAGTGACGTTAAAGTGGAACACGGAAGGGAAATTTCTTTATGATATCATAATATGAGCTGGAAAATAATGGTATTTTACATTATGACCTCCAAGCGATTTTCTATTTACATTTTTTCGTCTACAGTATTCAAGAGAACAATGCGTTTCCGTATACTTGGTATAAAAAACTTATCTAATTGCTAGTTTATCTTTGTGCAAATAGCTACCGTATAAGGCCAGTCTTGACTCACGTATTAAAAAAATATAACTCAGTACTCACTGCAGTGAGTGACAGAGAGCGCATTTTCTCGTCGACGAAAACGTGAAGTCACGGACACACAGACGGACAGATGGACAGACGGACATGACGAGCACAATAGCGTCTTTTTTCCATAAATGAGAAAATGCGCTAAAAAGCGAGTCCTGGCTATTGCCTAAACTCGTAATATCTGTGGCTCTGTTCACGAAATTCGTCTTCATCTTCGTCATATCCGTTATTGACAGCCATACTGTACGGTACAAGACGTTAGGAAACCATTGATTCGTGTGATTGATCGTTACGAGTGATACTAAGTCTTTATTGCCGCTTTAATGATATTCCCGTTGAAGATACTTAAGAATCCTTCGACTTTTGCGATGCACTCAATTTGATCGGCGGCGGAGCATCGGATTTGACGAGCGGAATGAGCATGTGATGGATTGCATCGGATGTGAAAAAATGCGGATCTGAAGAACAACCTTGCAACTTATTTACTGGAGGCACAGCCATAGATCTTATTTATGGAAGGCAACCTGGCAAATCTTGGAGATTGGTTTAGGATCGTAGCGCACTAAACTTGTTACAATTATTAGACAGAATGTAATGAAAGTCAATGTAATTCTTACCTAAATACCTGGTAACGAACGTTACTGTCAAATGACATTGTCTCCCAACATTAATCCATAGTCAATGTAATTCCTGCCTAAATACCTGGTAACAGGCGTTACCGTCAAGTGACATTGTCTACCAACATTAACCCATCGTCAATGTTATTCCTACCTAAATACCTGGTAACAGGCGTTACCGTCAAGTGACATTGTCTACCAACATTAACCCATCTTCAATGTTATTCCTACCTAAATACCTGNTCTTGGCTTCTCTTCATCAGAGGGAAATCTTATTATTGTACTCAAAACTTATTTACGCGATTAATTTTTTCATGCTTTAATACGGGGGATTATATCTAAGGCTTTTATATGGGGTATACTTTTAAGAATTGCTTTCGCAAAGAATCTCGAGCTGAACGTCGGCCTCGAGCGTTCAGGATCTCATTAGCTCAATTAGTCGCTGCTCGAGCTCCGGGGAATTATGAATTTTCTGCTATATCCTCGCAGCTAAAATTAAAACGAAGCCGAGAAGTACAAGGCATTAACAGTCCTATAACAAATGTAGATAATTATATTAGATAAGATATAGTTATGGCTTAAGGAATATAGTATCTGTCTCTTATACACATCTAGATGTGTATAAGAGACAGGCCCTGTTTCGTTCCAAGACTACAAACACCACTGCTAGACAAGTTTCCATATTACGGTCACGAAATAAATATTCGTTTACACATTGTTTAGTCATAAATTAAATACATTCAACCATTATTGAGTCATATTGTGACGTAATAGATAATGTCAAGACTCGAATCTCTTAATGAAGTTGATCTTCCAAGTCCAGCCAATACTACGTTCTCAAAAAAAATTATTTCATAAAATTCGGGTTCCGTCACACATGCAAACTCGGTTGTATGTAAAGGAAACGTGTTGGCGTGTAGAGTTGTTTTGGAAGAGCAAACTCGGTTGTATGTAAAGAAAACGTGTTGGCGTGTAGAGTTGTGTGTGTAGAGCAAACTTGGTTGTATATAAAGAAAACGTGTAGGCGTGTACAGTTTGCTTGAATCGTCGAAAATTTAACTGGAAATTTAATAAAATATTTAGCAATCACAATGACCAGATCAACACAGCTGCATGTATATAGAGTTCAGCAGCTCCGTGTAGTTGTGCTTCTAAAGGTAATGTGATTTGGGCACATGTTACTTTTGCATTTATAAAAATAGTTTGCAGCGTATTTAAACTTCAAGTTATTCCTATTCAAGTATTTGAAGTCTAGTCCTACAATTTTTAGCTTGATTTATAGCTGCATTTGACAGCTTGAGTATATGGTTTCTAAAGAAAATTACTGTTACATTAAAACTTATCATATTTATCCGGTTTTAATTAACTCGGGTCTGATTCGATCAAATAATTATGAGGAAATTATAGTTCGATTGGAAATTATAATCATTTGGAACGTTGTAGATTAAAAAAATTAAAACTGAAACGCTACTCTTTCCATTATTCTCATCTTACCGAGATATAATGTCTCAAGATGGGACAATCTGAAATAAAAACTTTTCATTTATCACTTACTTGAAATATTTCAAGATTGTTTTTATCCAGCAGTAAAGCTAACGTTATTAGTTTACTGGCAGTGCTATACATGTTAATAATAACGTTTAAAAAATACAGAACTATTGTAAAGTAGTATCGCGGCTCGATAGTATGCCTACAAACCTGTCTAGTGATTTTACTTTTTGCCAGCAGGTCCAAAGCTAGTTTTGCACCAATCCAATCAAGTGTCTCGGATGACGTAATCACACATGAAGGCAGGAGAAATTTATTGCTCAGAATTTATTACACATCGAAGTTTTTCTAACAATAGTATTATACATTTTTTTAATGATCATTCAAATTTGGTAATTCAGGTGCTCGTTGCTTGGTGGTACAAGTGATTTTTAGCGCATTTTCTCATTTATGGAAATAATGCACTATTGTGCTCGCCATGTCCGTCTGTCCGCCCGTGACCTCAAGTTTTCGTCGATGAGAAAATGCGTTCTCTGTCACTCACTGCAGTGAGTACCGAGTTATATTTTTTCATGTTTCGACCATCTGTTCTCGCTTATATTACAAAAGGCCTGGTACAAACCAGGCAAATTGAGAGCACTTTATAACTATCATAAATGCATTGTATGAATTTAAACTTCGGATGTTTTTACTGCCCAGCCCGTCTGTGCGGAACACGCATGGCCTTATCTGACATGGCCTGACTCTGAAATGTCGTTCTTCCCTTCAGAGTCACCACGCCCCAAATCCAAATCCAAATCCTTCAACAGTTCAACCTCGATATGCAATGCAATATGCATTGCCGCCTTAGTTGACAGCTGGCACTCAGAAGTGAAGGTTGTGACCGGCCTTCCACTACAATCATGAACGGCGCTTCCAATCATTTGTTTGGTGGAATTGAAGGGCAAGTATGTAATATTAAGCTATTTATACAGATGCCACTTGGATAATGAATTGCAGAAATTTATGATTTTGTCATTTTCTTTGTGGAATTAGAAAGTAGTTCGCCGAACCCCATTGCAAAGTCTGAACTGTCTGATGCGAGTGCCGATAGTCGGATCAGCAAAGGCCATAAAGGCAAGCAAGAGCCGTCGTATGTGCGTTAAACATGTTTATATTTTTGTGCTCATTGCGTTTTTAATGTAAGCAATATTTTATTTTCTACAATATTAATTAACTTAGATGAGTTTACTGCTGATCATTTAACATCCTATGACTATGCCATCTACTAGCTTACTAGGTATGTCAAAACAGTCAAATGTCAATGTTACAGACTGCTGGTGCTACCGTGCTAGTGCCAACTGGAAGAAACTGGATATTAGACATATTAATGTGCCTGTTCAGAATCTGTCCCATGCCTATTAGGTAAGAAAATAGCTGCATATTTAGCAAGATCATGAAAATACCTTCAATATAAATTTCAATATAATTAGAATTTAGAGTCTGTCAGGCAGCACAATCAGGAATCATATCTGTACATAGCTTCAAGTGGGAAGCAAGGAGTAATAATAATCAACTGGATATTATCACTGGCACCAAATAAGGCATGGTTACATCTCCATAATTTGAATAAACAAGAAAGGGTCAATCAAGCTGTCTATGAAACATTGACAGCTGTCAAATTGTCAATCAAATGTCACAGTTGTCAATGAAACATCAGCAGTGTGCTGTTATGGTATTGAGCCATCAACATCCAAGTATTACATAGGCTGTAAAGACTGTACTGTCTGTACATACTACTTACTAAATATTTAAGAATGTACTAAAAACTTTCTGAATTAGAAGGAAGATAGTGAATATCTGGAGAATTAATCAATTCAATGGCAAAATAAAAATATTTATCCTAAATCCATCTTTGTATGCTTAAGCCCAATTACATTGCCAGTTAGGAAATTAGCATTTCTGTCAGGCAAGTAAACATCTTTTCTATTTGAGGTATCAAAAATTGCCTGCAGGAATTAAGCTTTTTAATATGGGTTCAATTGTCCATGGGCAGAATTGATTGGTCAAGTCTATGAGACCCATGCCCATTAGGTACTATATGGTATAGATTATAGATACATTAGTCTTCCAGTTTCTGCTTAACTAAGATTCTGAATGATCTAACAAGTTGACTGCTTTTTTAGTCAACTTGAATTCTCAATCAGGATAATAGTTTAATTATTATGCTGCCATTACCAACTTAGGATTGTCAGGTGCTCAGTTCTCATAGGCCAATGATTCATCTAAAATGTGTTCCTTTTTCTATTGTCAGGGAAACAATTTGTGAAGTGAAATTCCTATAAGTAATTTATTTCTTTACCAAAATTTGCAAAGTTATTTCATGTCATCACAGTTGGGATGCAAACAATGGAATATCCAATATTATAACATCCCATTGATTGTTAAAGTGCATTATTTATCCCTTTTGCTACAGAGTTAATATTTAAGTGAAAGAATCTTATTTAAATCTTATTTTTAAAATTCTAAACATTTATCTGTTTTTTTGTTTCTGGAATTTACAAAGAACCTATAACCAAATGAACAAAGTTTATAGGTAATGCAGTTGAATATATAGGCATTTAAATCTCGAGAAATGCATGAATTAATAGAATGAAAACGATTTTCTATTTGTCCTAATAGTTGTTACCACAATTAGCATTACATAATAAATCTCGTAACTGTAGTTAAATTCAAACCTATGGGCTACTGTAACTCTGAGCTCCCAATTGAGAACTGCCATTTCCTTGTCATTTTTCTTGCTTGCAATATCTCATTATTGGATTTTTCCTTTAATATCCTTTCTTGTACACTTTAGGCTTGTGTTGTATCTCTATTATTGTGATTTGCTTAAATTTGTCTTAGAATATCCAGCCTGCAATTGGTCTGTCAATTTATTCACAGATTAAATCTACTTTTCTTCATGAACTTGTACTTATTTCTTCATTTCATTGTAATGTTAGCTTATGCATCATCTCTTTTCTGGTGCTCTATTTCAATGCTTGTAGGACAAATAAATATGTGATGATGTATCAATTAATTTGTAAATTTATTTATAAATTAATTTTTTAGCATGTGATATAGGTATATATTTTATATTAAATTTATAAATTTTTAACATGTGAAAATTATCTACATAATTTTCATCAGTATGCATTTGTTCTCAGCCCCATAGATACAATAAATATTTGAATAGATAAGAATGCTATGTTTTTGGGGGATGCAACTTGTCTAACCAAGATAAGGCTTCTTATCAGCACTCCTGTTGTGAGGTGATATCTTATCAGCATGTGACATTCTTGTCATGGAATTGATAAGCCTGCATTGCTCGCTTATCTCACCACCGCCATTGAACTTGACGCTCTTGAGTAACTGCATACAGAGGCCGAGGCAGGCACTCCCCTAATATTTCTTATGTTGTTCCCATCTGGGACATATTTAATAATCTACTCTGGTCAAAATATTATTAATATATACGGTATATACATACCGTATAGGTATTATTATATGGACAGGCTCTTGCCTAGTACCTATTTATCATGTTGTTCACATCTAGCACATATTTGATAATCTACTCTGATTATTATATTATTAATATATATTATACAGGCTCTCACCTGATACTTCTTTTTTGTCCACATCTAGGACATTTTTACAACACTTCTCTTTAACTTCACTTCTTGTCTGTTTGTTTGTTTGTCTGTCTGCTACAAATCTTGTAAGCAAAATTTAATACTACACTTCTACTTATCCTATCAATCTGAAATTTTGCACACTTGTGTAAAGTTGGAGACAATGCATGAATCAAATGTAAAAATAAATGATTTTAAAAATGAAAAAAAAAATTTTTTCAATATTAAAAATATTGAAAAAATAATTTTGTCAGCTACAAATCTTATAACTGATATTTGACACACTTTTACCTGCCTAATTGATCTGAAATTTTGCACACTTGTGTGACGTCAGGGGCAATGCATGAATCAATTAACAGAATAAATAATTTTGAAAAAAATTTATATATTAAAAAAAATTTATATATTACAAAAAACTGAAAAATTAATTTTTTTAATATTCGAAAATTAGATGAGAAATTCATTGTACATCTGTAAGATTAGAGACACTGGATTCTTTGGAAGTGTTGTCTTTAAAAAGTAATTTTTAAATGTATATTATTAATAATCTACTCTGAAATGAATTCTTTGCCAGACTGATGAATGTGTCAAGACCTATTAAAATTAAACATAAGCAAATTCTACAATATTGCGAAATTAAGTTAATTTTAATACCTCTGTAGTTCTTAGACTTGACAATTTTCTTGGTTTACTGAGCTGAAATGTGTGAAATATTTTTTAATTTGTCAATAATACATATGTTATTCAATATAAATGTATATTTCTAAAGTTGTCCAACTAGACAAAGTTTCTTAACTTTTTGGCCATCTTTGTCATTCGTTTTTTAGACCGACTGTGTAGTAAGATTTATTTACCCATTGTCTGCAATTTTCGACAATCGAAAAGTGTCCCGGTGTTCCAATGATTTCTGGCCTGTACGTATAAGATAGAGCACCTAACTGACCATTTGCCGTTGCCGCCTTGATCAGTTTTTCGCCCGGCGGAAATACGATTGTAACATTGACTCTAACATCGTTCGCCACGGAAGTTGTAACAACTCTTAAGCACTCTTAAGCTTTTTCAAAATTACTTATTTTTATTTTGTCTTAAATATGTTTCAAAGCTGTGCTAGTTCTTTACTCAATAAAAAGATTCTCCACAGAGGCGGTACGCAGTCCACCATCATATTGATGGACAGCAGCGGCCGTTCGCTGGTCCAATATGTTGGTCCGTCCACAAACCATTACGTAAGTGTGGGTTGCTTCATCATCTGTAAGGTGATGAGCTTCATAGGTAAAATTCATAAGCATGCATGTGATAGTCATTCTGGGGTCGTACTATCAAAACTCGATCAAGTACATGTAGCAGCCTAAGTTCCAGAGGTGGGCAGTAGCGCGCTAAATGTAGCGGCCGCTACATTTTCAGTAGCGGTAGCGGCGCTACATTTAAGCAATTGTAGCTGTAGCGGTAGCGCCCGCCACATTTAGAGCATGTAGCGGTAGCGGCCCCTACATTTCAAAGTAGCGCTGCCCAGCTCTGCTAAGTTCACGTATATCGGCCGATTTCTCGTATGTGATTGGAGGGTTTAATTAACTCGAAAAGCTGTCTGTGATTGGCTGACGGAGTTACGAACTCCTAACTATTTTTTATAGTACTGCTCTTGGTTCATGGTTCCTATGTGGGGGTGAACAATACGCATGTGCTAAATGAAGTAGTGTATGAATATCGAATGATAATTCATGAACAACTACCAGCATTCAATATCAATCCAATTCAATTAGTCCATTCATTTTTTTCCAAGCTTAATTTTTGATGTGTCGGACAAGAAAAATCGTACATCATATACAGTATTTAATATCCTCGCAATTTGAAAATTTTTCTTAATCTTAAACAATTGATAGCATTTGAGTAATGGTTGAAGAATTTTTTTTTTAACAAAGTGGAGTGTTCCATAGGAACAGACGTTGGTTGAGAATAACCTTAACCACAAGATTTAATAAGAATGTGATCGTGAAAGACTTTGAGTAGGCAGAGAGAGAAACCATTCGTTTAATAAGCCGAGAGATTTTGTACATAAAGTGATAAAGTTAAGCTCATTAAAGCTATATTAGCGTGCAACACGATCAAGCCTGTACCGTTAAAACGGGCTGTGAAGCGCACTCGTAATGTTCATTATTTTGCTCTTGTTCTTATCTCAGTAGATAAGACTAAGTGGCTGCTGTGACGACACGCCTCACGAATTTCGTAGGAACGTGGATAGTTTGTACACTCCTCTCAAGACACGTTCTAGGTGCCTGGCTAGTTAGATATATATTTTCTTGAGGTCTTAAAGTAACCATGAGTGGCATGTCAAGTAACCCCGAGTGCTGAGTAACCCTGAGGGGGGGGGGGTTGCTGAGTTACCTTGTATGTGGATGTTGAGTAACCGTGTGTGCATGGGGGTGTTAAGTAACCCAGTTTGGGGAGCTGAGTATTCTGAGTAGGGTGTGACATCGAGTAACCCAGTGTGAAGGTGTCGAGTAACCCTGTATGTGGATGCCGAGTAACCCTGAGTTTCAAGTAACCCTGTGGGGTGTTGCAGGCCACGGGGATGGAGGAGTGCGCGCGTCGCCTCGCGGAGCTGGTGGATGTAGCGCTGAAGGAGGCCGGTCTTCCCCCCAACACGTCCCTCAAGGCGCTGGTCAGTTCCCTTGTAAATTAATTCATTTATTTATTTATTGAAGAACAGTGGTTACCCCGATGGCTCGAGGCAACGCTTAATTTAATTCACACGAATTCTGCATTAAAATAACGCTGTATTTTGATAAAAATAAACGTTGTTTGTCCTCAATAGTACGTAATTAGTGAATTGTTTTTTAATTTAAACCGGATATTGTCAAATAAACATAGTTGATTTATTTCAATGGATGTTCTTAATTGTTGACCATTCTTATGATAGCAGTTCACGAGTGAGGCCGTTAGGATGCGTATGTGGGAATCCTACAGACAAAATCCCTTCAATCTAATTTATTTTCAGCTGGTCCTTCAGTGCGCATAAGATTATTTATCGCGTCTAAAAACGTACAGAAATCATTCAAAAAAATGCTAGGCACTTTTTCTTAGCACAGGTTCTGAGATCGCGCGGGTTTAGCTTATTCGTTCACTGCAGGAATTATGAATGATTTCGGCTGTCATACATCCTATCGAAGAAGTTTGAGGTATAGAAGGTATTTCTTTACGAAAATCATCTGTACAGTGATGCATAAATTCTTTGCCGAACCCGCTCAAGTTATGTTACGTACCTACCTATTGATATTCAAAACAAAATGATGTACTAAACAACACGCAAACAAATACGTACTAAACAAACTATTGTACTATATGTGTGAAGAGCTGTTTAAATTGATTTGAAGTATAAAGGTGGCCCAGTGGTTACAGTTCAGAGTACCAAGATTAGAGCAGAGAGGCGCGGGTTCGATCCCAGCTCTGTGCGCCAGTTTCTGGTCAGAATCGGCAAGGAGGCCGGGCGGTTAAGCACAGCAGAATTTGAATCAGTGAGTTGCGAGTTCGAGACCGCAACAAGCTGTGAATGTTCTGCGATGTTAAGAATCGGCGACAGGCCTACGGCCTAATAAACGCTGAAACCGCTATTATTATTATTATTATAAAGGGATTAAAATGGTACATAAATATTCTCAGACTCACTCGATGCTTATTGTGTATAATGACGATAGAAACGAAAAAAAACTAATAATAGACGTTGTCCCTAGAAAACCACTTACATTTCCTCGTCGCCGACAGGGCTTGTGCCTCTCGGGCTGTGAGGACGAGGCTACCAACGCTGGTCCAGATACCGTGCATAAAGACAATAGAAACGAAATTAATAAACCAATAATATACGTTGTCCATAGAAAACCACGTCCATTTCCTCGTCCCGACAGGGCGTATAAAGACAATAGAAACGAAATAAATAAATTAATAATAGACGTTGTCAATAGAAAACCACTTACATTTCCTCGTCCCGACAGGGCTTGTGCCTCTCAGGCTGTGAGGACGAGGCCACCAACGCTGGTCTGGAGCAGGAGCTGCGTCGTCAGAGGCCGGACCTCGCCGAGCTCATCGTAGTGGCCTCAGACACGCTCGGCCCCATTGCCACGGCCTGCCCCCGCGGTACGCCACAGCCCTCTCCCCTGGGCCAATTTTCACCTCCCTGGGCCCATTTTCACCCCCTGTGCCCATTTGTACCTCTCTGGGCCCATTTGCACCCCCTGGGCCCATTTTCACCCCCTGGGCCCATTTTCACCCCCTGGGCCCATTTCACCCCTCTGGGCCCATATTCAGCCCCTTGGCCCATATTCACCCCCTTGGTCCATTTTCACCTCTGGGCCCATTTTTAGCCCCCTCGGCCCATTTCACCCTTTGTGCCCATTTAACCCCCCTGGACCCATTTTCACCCCCTGGGCCCATTTTCACCCCTTCAGTCTGTCTTTACCCCATCGGGCGCTCCTACTCATGCTTAGATTAATCGTAAGGCGAGATAATATCGTGAGCGCGGAGAGTAATACCTATAAAACCAAGAAAGATCTTTAATGATATGTTAAAAAATCGTGAATGATGATAATAGAATGAAGTCGTTCAAGGTCTTTACTCATAAGATATATTAACACGTTAAGTGCGGCAACGACCCACAGTGCTGGCAGCTGGCCTAAAAACGGCCAAGTCCGCTGATAAAAAGGCCTATAATTCAAAATATACTAGTAAATTTGTATGTTCAGGTGCAAAAATTATATTTTCCTTTTTTCGACATTTATAATTTAATGAGGCAGAACTGCCATCATAAATTTTTGTCGACAAATACAATTGAAAAAAACTAAATCGCGGAATTAATCCGGAAAAAAGATCCTGCCACCCACCCGTGGGTCGTCCCGCACTTAACGTGTTAAGATCATCACTGTGGAGAATAACCTGAAGTTGATAAAGAAGAGCGATATTAAGTACTTAATGAGTGAGTAGAACAGTGCATGAATTGTCTACATTTTGTTTTTAGCGTATCACGAAGTTGATGAAAATTCTGACCTCAGAGAACGATTTGGGAATTTACAAATAAACGCTTTTCGTTTAGAATTTAGACGTCACAATAGTTAACTAAAAATATGTCATTTTACAGTGGTGCGTGACTGAACACGCGTCAAATATTGTACAAAAGTATAGCGAATTGTAACAGTTTGTGATTGTAGAACCAGGATTTTTGTAAAGAATCACTCCAATGATAAGAAAATATAATATAATGATCGCAAATATATCGTATATCACACTAATAACTTCGAGGGATTGCGATTGCTACCGATATTAATGAAATGATCAATGATAATTATAAATTATCGTATTACTGTCTGGTTAAAATGTGATTGTGATTTGTCTCAGTACATGTTAATAAATGATTGGCTGAAGATTGTACCGTTGTATCTTGGTTGGCTTCTCTCACTACATGTTATGTTATACATGTTAGGTAATGATTGGCTGTAGATCTCATGTTGATTGTCTGTGGGCAGGAGGCGTGGTCGTCATATCAGGCACAGGCAGAGGGTGGAGGTGAGGGGAGGGCAGTAATGGGGGTGGAAGTGAGATTTGGACGGCTAGGTATTTATAATCCTTTGAATATTTCACTGTTACGGGAAATTTCTCTCCGGTTTAGCTTGTGTTTTTTATTCAATCCTGTGATTAAGAATTGAAATGACAATGGTTAATAGAAGTATCAGGAACAAATTAAAATATGTCTAAGAATTTGGTAATTTTTTTAAAATATCCAAGTAAATCGTAATTTCATAATGAATTTCGACGTAATTTTCATATTTCTGCTTATATGCTCATTAAAATACCATACCTAGGTCTAAAAATTTGGTAATTTTATGAAATAAACGCAAGTTAAATGAAATTTTATCAGAAATTTTGACGTAATTTTCATGGTGATATGCTTATGTGCGCAGCGTACTGGATCGCAGCGCGTGCGGTGAAGCTGCTCATCGACGAGGAGGACCACCTCGTGGATCCCCCACACCCCACCCACGCCCTCAGGACGCTCGTCCTGACCCACTTTAATATCGAGGACAGGTGGGACCTTAGTGCCTTGGCCGTGTGGCTTATGGGGGACCTTAGCGCCTTGGCGGTGTGGCTTATGGGGGACCTTAGCGCCTTGGCGGTGTGGCTTATGGGGGACCTTAGCGCCTTGGCGGTGTGGCTTATGGGGGACCTTAGTGCCTTGATGGTGTACCTTATGAGGGACCTTAGCGCCTTGACGGTGGGCCTTGCAAGGGACTTTAGCGCCTTGACGGTGTACCTTATGAGGGACCTTAACGCCTCGACGGTGGGCCTTACGAGGGACTTTAGCGCCTTGACGGTGTACCTCATGAGGGACCTTAATGCCTTGACGGTGGGCCTTGCGAGGGACTTTAGCGCCTTGACGGTGTACCTTATGAGGGACCTTAGCACCTTAGCTGTGGGCGGCCTTATGATGGACCTTAGCACCTTAGCGGTGGGCCTTATGAGGGACCTTAGCGGTGGTCCTTATGAGGGACCTTAGCGCCTTAACGGTGGGCCTTATGAGGGACCTTAGCACCTTAGCAGTGGGCCTTATGAGGGACCTTAGCGCCTTAGCGGTGGGCCTTATGAGGGACCTTAGCGCCTTAGCGGTGTGCCTTACGAGAGACTTAAGCGCCTTGGCGGGGTTCTTTACGGGCAACCTTCGCGCCTTGGCGTTGTGCCTTACGAGGGACCTTAGCGCCTTAGCGGTGTGCCATACGGGGGACCTTAGCGCCTTGGTGGTGGGCCTTATGAGGGACCTTAGCGCCTTGGTGGTGGGCCTTATGAGGGACCTTAGCGCCTTGGCAGTGTGCCTAACGGGGGACCTTAGCACCTTTGTGGTGAGCCCAACAGGGGGCCTTAGCGCTTTAGCTTCCATCGATACCACCCTCCTTGTGCCCCGCAGGTTCGGCATGCTGCATCACTGCTATCAGAACTTCTCCAAAAGCTTCTACGCTTCGTTGACGCGCGGAATTGCAGATCTGGCGACGAAGGGCGACGTCGTTTGTCAGCAGCTCATGTTCGACGGCGGCGAGGCACTTGGTCGCCATGTGGCCGCCCTCAGCAGGAATATTGACTCGGTAATGAATGACTGGTGGAGGGCTTGGGGAGAACTGTTGAAGGGTTGGTGAAGGACTGGTAGATGGTTGGTGGAGGACTGTTGAAGGGTTAGTGAAGGACTGGTAGATGGTTGGTGGAGGACTGTTGAAGGGTTGGTGAAGGACTGGTAGATGGTTGGTGGAGGACTGTTGAAGGGTTGGTGAAGGACTGGTAGATGGTTGGTGGAGGACTGTTGAAGGGTTGGTGAAGGACTGGTAGATGGTTGGTGGNCAGCTGTCTCTTATACACATCTAGATGTGTATAAGAGACAGGTCCATAAGTTACCCTTTCCCTCCTTGAGCAGAGTCTGTACGACCCTCCTGATGGTCTGTCCATAAGTTACCCTTTCCCTCCTTGATCAGAGTCTGTACGACCCTCCTGATGGTCTGTCCATTATCTGCGTGGGGTCTGTGTGGAAGTCATTCGAGTTGCTGCGCCCCGGCTTCGTGGCGGGACTGAGGCCGCGAAGCAAGCTGGACGTATCGGTGCCCCGCTGGTCGCTGCTCAGACTCAAGGTATTACCCAGTGAAAATTTACAGACGCGGCAGCTTCTGATTTGGATTACCAGAAGCTGGGGCGACTCTAAATTTGTTAGGGTACACATGCATCGTTTGGTCCCACCATGACGATTTACCAGAGGCCGTGCTTTCAAAAGAAAAATTCGAGTTTTTTAATCTGTTAGCCAATCACTGACTGCTTTTCAATCAAAGAACCACTAATCACAGAAGAGAAATGGCCGTTACGTGTACCTAAGTAAGTCTTGATAGTACGGCCCCTGAGGCGGTGTGTGTTGGAACTTTGGTCAGGTTTATTCGCCGTGCATACTTGATACCTTCAAGTCAGTAGAACTATTCTGGTTTAGATTATTTGAGAGAAACTCTGCTTAATAAGAATGGTGGTCAGTAGGTTTTGCGACCTCAATTTCCAGGATCAATATCCTGTTATACAAATACAGCAACTTCCCGTTACAAAGAAAAGCTGCCGTCTCTGAAATTGAAAATAAAATATTGGCTCCGAGAATGGCTTGGGGAGACAATTCTACTTTTTTGTGCTTGAAAGATGGTCGGAGATGATCATGGAAGTTGAGGGAGGAGTTGTTTTGAAAAGAAATTTCTTATACGTAATCAGACGTTAGGCCTTAATCTTATTCGTAACTGCCTCAGAGCAGAGGAAAACTATTATAGTTAATCCAGGTGTACGAATTATTCCTAATTAAATCAATAATTTTATGGGAGACTGTCATACTTGTAGGTAGCGTTTAAAATATAAATTATTTATTGAGAACGTACGGTAATTTGTGTTTGTAGATCACTTTATATTACCTTGGTACAACTTGGCTATCTACGAACTAACTGCAATGTTCTTGAATTATTTACTTGACTTGCATTGAATAGGCACAATTAACTTTTCGACGCAGCAATAGCGTTCTTATGTGAAAGGTTGGATTACCTATTAAATTTTTGTGTTATAAATGTAGACTTGGCTGTTAATTTTCAGACGAGCAGCGCGTTGGGGGCGGTTTACTTGGCGGCCAAGAAGGCGGACTGCGACATCCCGCGAGACTACGACAAAAACGCTGAAGTTATCTTCCGGTACAGCGACGCGAAGTGTCCTGACAAGGCAGTGTCTTCGTAGGACTCTCGAAGAAAGACTACTGCCTTTTCCTTTGCTCAATAAGTAGGATTCTTCCTAGGACTCCCCTCAAGACTATCGCCTTTTCCTTAGCTCAATAAATAGGAGTCTCCTCAAGACTATTGCCTTTTTCTTAGCTCAATAAATAGGACTCTTCGTAGGACTCTCCTCAAGACTATTGCCTTTTCCTTAGCTCAATAAATAGGACTCTTTATAGACCTTGACTTGAAACTTATGACATTTGGCATATCAATCTGCAGAACTCATAGAGCTTATTTCTTACGCCGAGGATCCCCTTGTATTTCAATACCACTAACGTGGTACCATGCATCACGGTATTGCCTGTATATGTAATGCATATCTGACATTGATAGCCTTCATGTTAAGTTTAGGATTTCCTGATCCATGACCACGCTGATGCGCCGCCTTCGTCGTCTCTCACACGTATTACTCATGAATTGATGTCACTTATTTGCTGAAATCGCAAGTTAACTAAAAATTTAAAAGCAAAGAATAGTCCACAAAAATTCATATCTTTATAGACAACGTTTCGGAGTCCTGCTCCATCGTCAGTTCGTAGAATCTAGAATTCGTATTACTCATGATTTGAGGCTGCTTTGACTTCCTTCGGACTAAAAGTCTTGGTTTAACAAAAGTCAACATTAATTCCAAATAAAAAGTATTATATTCGCGCTTAAGTTTACTAATTGTAAAAAATTCTAAATTTAGTTGTAATAGATTTTTTATGTTGTTATTCAGTTATTGTATCTGTAGCTTTTAGAGTTGGTGCCATAATTATCATTCCTGTGATTTTAAGATAAATTTTAAGTCATCAAAAACAAGGTACGAGGCTTGAATTGGGCTCCCCCCAACGTTAAGAAAACCTTTATTTAATCTTTGCTACAGTGCATAAATCGATATTTTGTGCCAAACGCTGTTTCATTCTTCCACTAATATTCAGAGTGCAACAGAAAATTATTTTTTAATTCACCGAATGGAAAAAGTTGAAAATAAGAAGCTGGAAGCTGATGCGTCCGAGCTGGTGAGCCTTTAAACTTCTTGTCGTAATTGACAGTCACGATCCTGCAAAGTGTCCGATCCTACATTCACAATCCTGCAGTAACCGATCCTACATTCACAATCCTGCAGTGACCGATCCGACATTCACAATCCTGCAGTGACCGTTCCTACAGTCACAATCCTGCAGTGTCCGATCCTACATTCACAATCCTGCAGTGACCGATCCTACAGTCACAATCCTGCAGTGACCGATCCTACAGTCACGATCTTGCAGTGACCGATCCTACAGTCACAATCCTGCAGTGTCCGAAATTCCCTCGTCTGAACCTACTTTGGTAACGGCCGAAAATGGCCAGATCCTTTGGCCGTTGCGCTCCGGTTAAATGGCTCTATGGCTTCTTAAAGGGTTACTTCAAAGCTGCGGGGAATATACAAATGATGTGATTTGTGAGGGGAAAGTTAAACTATATATGCCTTTTTGTCTTCATTAAGCCCATAGAAAATATTTTATCTGAGACAATTTGTGTAAAACGCGCGTCTTACTCGTTCATAATTACTCGAAATGTAGATCCGAAAATCATGCGATAAATAATGACGCTCTTGCACCTCGCTGATATATTGTTATTGTATTAAATATATAATTAGGCCTTTACACGTATCGAACCGTGAGGATACAATATCTTTGTCCAATAGGTTCCAAATTCATTTGTGGAGAAGTCAAACCCCTACTGTTTTTTGATCGTTTCTGTTGGGCCTCCGTAATACAATTACAGTTTGCCTGGTTGAGCCTCAACTGTCATAAATATTTTCTGCAATCGTTTTCGCCAATTTTTTCAGTCCTTTGTCACACAATGTTTTCCCTGGTATAATTCATGCCTAAATTTTCAAGAATATTATTTGCATGAAGGTTCCTGTATCAACAATTGTTTTGACACTCGATCGATTTCCATCCCACTGATCGCTTCAGAAACCCCAAGGGGAGTTGATTGTCGACTGATTGCATCTTGCCAATCAGCAGTTGTGGGGCCAGGGATCCGGTCTCGCCAACCTCGGGAAGCTTCAGGGCAAAAACGAAGTTGCAAGACGTACGGCTAAAATCATTTTTTTTGAGACAGTTGTGCTCCGTACTAAAAAAAATTATAAATAAAATTTACATTTAGCATGTAAATATGCGCACATTCCAATTTTTCCTGTTTTATTTTTCAAGAAATATCGAATCTTACAAATCTTGTCCGATTTCATTCGGTGCAAATTGTGGTAGATGCTTTGCCTACCACCGTGCTTAATGTTCTATCAAATTCATATCATTTACCTCTAATTTATATGGTGATTTTGTCACAGCTCGATCGGAAGCTTGAATTGAGTTCGATAACACTGCAACATAAGGTTTTCAGTATGTAAAACTCTGCATGCCTATAGAATTTATTGTGTCATGCCACAAACTTGGTACGGGGTGGGACACTTGATGTCAATGTTACGAAAAAACTACGACGCAATGCCAAAAAAAACGATTAAACACCCGGTATCAATGCCGTAAAAACGCCGGGAAACTTGGTGAAAATGCAAAAAAAAATGCCTGGCTACAAAGTATCAATGCTGCGAATGACTAAATAATAACACAGAGTATCTGTCCTACATAAACTTCGGAACAGATGTTATCAAGGCTGCAAAACGTGCGAAAATTTCACAAGATATCTGTGCTAAAAAAGACGCCTGGACAGTTGGGATGAATGCTGAAATAAACGCCTGTACACGCGGTACCAATGTAAAAAAACACATAGAGTGATGGGTTCTTAGCTATGAAAAATGGCCAGACACAAGGTATCGTAGGAGTGTAGATAGTGAAGGTATCAATGATAGGAGTGTAGATACTGAAAGTATCAATGCTAGGAGTGTCGATAGTGAAGGTATCAATGCTAGGAGTGTAGATAGTGAAGGTATCAATGCTAGGAGTGTAGATAGTGAAGGTATCAATGCTAGGAGTGTAGATAGTGAAGGTATCAATGATAGGAGTGTAGATAGTGAAGGTATCAATGATAGGTGTGTAGATTGTGAAGGTATCAATGATAGGAGTGTAGATAGTGAAGATATCAATGATAGGAGTGTAGATAGTGAAGGTATCAATGCTATGAGTGTAGATACTGAAGGTTCAACTATAGTATAGAAAACTATAGATAGTAAAGGCATCAATCATAGGAGTGTAGTTACTGAATGTTCAACTATAGTATAGATAGTGAAGGTATCAATGCTTGGAGTGCAGATACTGAAGGTATCAATGATAGGAGTGTAGATAGTATGGGGAGCAGAGGTCGTTGTGGCCCACAACCTCCATCGGTATCGATCCCGGCAGCCGCAGGGCCGGTCGGTGGCGGGAGGGACATCGTTCGGTCACCCAACACTCAGTGTTTGCTGCGCCGTCACGTGAAGAAGTTGCGTTCAGCTCGCTCAAATGAAGCCCTAGTTTGCATAGTATTCATTTCTGTTCCTAATGTTCTCACGGTCGCTGCTTGGGCTTCTATTGATTTTGGTTCACTGATGCAACTGAGTGCGATAGCCGTATAAAAGTTCAGTGTTTTGGATGTCTCAAGGCCATAAGATTCGGACGGCTGAAGTTTCGATCTTGAGGCGTGTTCTGTGACACTTCGGCTACTCCAGGTCAAACCGTGAACCCTTTTAAAGATACCATGGAGATGACCAAAGCTGCCGCTATTCTTATGGCATTTTTAGCGTTTGTTGTTCATTCTGGTAAGTTGCATGGTTTTCCTTCGTTTTCTTTGGTCCCAGATTGCAAGCCGCTTAAACCACGTTCTCGCAATAGGAACGTTATTTCCATGCCAGACTCTTGAAAATAATTCAAACATGTTTTGTGTCTAATTTCGCTCGCTTGAAATTATTTTATGCTTATTAAGACTGAATTGAAACCTTCTTCTAAATTCCAATTATATTTTTAACGTTTGATTTCTTACACCTAAGAGAGAATTTCTCATATGTTTTACTTTAACATCTGTCATAGAAAGCTGAATAACCTGTACTTTTTAGACATTAAACGCATTCACTGTAAAAATATCGCAAAAAATCAAAGGTAACGGACGTTAAAAGTTTGTTTTGAAACCCTTTGAGGTGTAACGCAAAATCTCGCTTGACGTTATCAGGACCGGAAATAACGAAAGATAACTGAAGAGTGAATGCCGGTTAGACTAAAATTCGTGTTAGAAAACGCGACAATAAAGAAACTATCACCAAATTATATGCCGATGCTAGGATATTGTTTGGGATGCCCGGCAGGTTAACCGGCATTGCCCTGTAGGTTGTTTGGGGCAAGTTATAGGTTAACCGTGCGTGTTGATCGAAAAAAAATACGCGTGATATGCAGCAAGTTAACCTGACGTTGCTTAGGAAGTTGCGTGACAAATGTAACAGGTTAACCTGGAGCTGTGTGGAAATTTGATTGATATACATAGCCTGTTAACCTGACGTTCCTTAGGATGAATAACAGGATAACCTGGAATTACCTGGTAACTAAACTTATATGAACGATGCCCTAACAAAAATCCATGGTTGAAATTGCATACCATGCCAATACGAAGGCTGTAAATATTAACGGTATCTTTTATATATGCTTAGAAAAATTATTGTGGCATTCGTTATTCCAGGCATCAAATTATTTAACGAACATGTTTTGTAAAACTCTTTTATATGACTAAGTATAGCTATTGCTTGTATAGAAGCGTATTTAAATTTCCAGTATTGGAATATGTTGAAAATTTATAAACATAAAGCGTTTATTTTAAAGTTTTCCCTGGAAATAAAGATGAGTTACTGAGCATATTTCTCCGAACAAGTAAATGAAATGTTAGGCTTAAATTCCGTAGAGTTTGTGCATGTCTGTATCTCCTACAAAGCGCCGTGGATCTTACTTTTCTTCCATTGCAAGCACCGTAATCATGATTCTGCGATCTGAATCTACATTCAAATTGTTTTTAAGGCTCATACGGAAGTAATACTAAATTAAAGAACTGAGAACATTTCACTGTATTTTCTATTCAACTAATATAAATATATAAAGGAATAGTTAAATGCACGGTAAAAATTTAGATTTGTCAGGGCAGATTCAATGAATAATTGAACAATAATGTGGTAGGTAAAATAAACTATGAAAGTGAGATATTCTGTGTAAATATCCAATAACACTTTCACGCAATGCTTTTTTTTAAAAAGCCATGCATTTTACTTTTCGACCAAATTCTTCGTCGTGGAGTGTTTATGAAAAAATAAATTGATGGAGTATTGATGATCAATAATTTAACAGAGCGGGATCTGACAATAACAAATTTTGAATCTAAAAAATATTTTATCGATAACTTTCAAAACGAATTGACACGCTCGATTTATCATACAAGAAACCGATACACAAAATTATATATACACAATGATGAATGGCATGATGAAATATAATGAATTTTCACATGTTAGAGGTGACGTAAAATATAAGGAATGAAGAGTTACATGACGTGTTAATAAAACACCTCAGTACTGTAGCGCTGCAACTTAGATACTACAGCGTTCCCATACTGAGAAAAACGTTCCCTTTAAAAGCACTGAGTGTTCTCACAAAGCTCCACGTTCTCTCACAAAGCATCGCGTTTCTACTCTTATTAGTTATTATGGAAAATTGAACTTCGATCGTATGGTGGAGCGAATGTAATTTTCTTCGAAATTATGGAATTTTTGACAGAATTTTGGGCACAAAGTGTTGCAATGCAGAGCAACAGAACGCTACCGGAGTGTTAACAACGTACACTTACAAAACACATCTCACGGTGTTTTGCAGAGTTTTACATCTGCCTTAATGTCGCTACGTGAAAAGTATAGGGCACCAGGGCACAGTAAAGGAGAAAGCTTCTGCAGTGTTCTGTGGAACTTATTTGCATTGCGTAATGGATTACATGTTTTTTATGTTTTACGTGTGGTTTAATTGTACCAGGTAAAAAGTATGTCACAGCTGCCAGTGCGTCAGCACAGAGAAGCAGAACGCTGCCTCGGTGTTAACAACGCTAATTTACATAACGTGATCATGTCGCGGTCTACTCTACAGTTTTGAACCACAGTTTTACGCCTCGGATTAATTTTGCTTCGTAAAAAGTATGTGACCAGCACACACTGCGTTAGGCCAGAGCAACAGAACTATGCCGCAGTTTTTATGTACGTTAATTTAATTTAATTTATGAGCCAGTTGCGTAATCATCTCATGGTTTACTCTAAATTTTTACTACGGGCTTAATTTTGCATGGGAAAAATTATAGACCGACATACAGAGCGTCAGGACAGAGCAACAGTACGACGCCGCAGTATTTATAATGTTAATTACTAGCCCGTTGCGCAATCATCTCATAGTTTATATATTTTTACAACGGGCTTAATTTCGCTAGGTAAAAAGTATGTGACCGGTGCATAGAGTAACAGAACGACACCACAGTATATTCAACATTAATTTACGAGCCCGTTGCGTAATTATTTCATGGCTTACTTTATATTTTTACAACAGGCCTAATTTTGCTAGGTAAAAGGTATGTGACCGGCGCATTGAGCAGCAGAAGGACGCTGCAGTATTTACAACGTTAATTTACTAGCCCGTTGCGCAATCATCTTATAGTTTATATAATTTTTACAACGGGCTTAATTACACTACGTAAAAAGTATAGAAAGGGCAGCAACAGTACGCACCACAGTATTTACATACAACGTTTATTTACTAGCCCGTTGCGCAATCATCTATATATTTTATAGATGACTGAAACTAAATATAAAGATTATATCTAAATATATTTTTACAACGGGCCTAATTTTGCTAGGTAAAGCTAAAAAGTATAGACCGGCTTACAGTGCGTCAGGGCAGATCGAGCAACGCTTCCATGCTGCCGTTTTTACAATTTATTTATTTAATTTACTAGCCCGTTGCACAATCATCTCATAGTTTATAATACTTTTACAACGGGCTTAATTTCACTACGTAAAAGTATAGCCCGGCACACAGTGCGTCAGGGCAGCAACAGTACGACACCACAGTATTTACATACAACGTTAATTTACTAGCCCGTTGCGCAATCATCTATATATTTTTATTGATGATTGAAACTATATATGGATTATATCTATATATATTTTTACAATGGGCTTATTTTCGCTAGGTAAAAAGTATAGTCCGGCTTACAGTGCGTCAGGGCAGGTCGAGCAACACCGCCACGCCGCGGTATTTACAATTTATTTATTTAATTTACTAGCCCGTTGCTAGTCTAGCCCGTCATCTATATATTCTTTAGATGATTGAAAATATATATATAGATTACCTCTATATATTTTTACAACGGGCTTAATTTCACTACGTAAAAAGTATAGACCGGCACACAGTGCGTCAGGGCAGATCGAGCAACGCTGCCATGCTGCCGCAGTCCGCGCGACCGGATCGATCATGGTGCTGCAGGTGCTTACATTCCTGCCTGCCGCTGCCACCTACTGAGCTCTAACTCCTTCCGTTATGGATTTAGGTGCCCGTTTCATGTGCCTTTGACCTCTTGGTGCAGTCGCTTTTCTCGTCAACATGAAGCGGTTCCTAAAAATCTGCATGAATGATAATCAATAAGCGATTTTGTTTCCTTTTTATAGACGTATTTGTAGGTTTCTTTTCGGTTGGTCCAACTATCAGGCTCTTTTTGATATTACCAAGGATCGGTTTGTTGTGGGTAGCGCCAACGATCGGTTTGGAATATTTTTATGCATCGAAAATTTTTCGATCAGTTTGAAAAATTTTTCGATCAGTTTGAAAAATTTTTATTCATCGGTTTAACTAGGACAATACGAAAGATCAATATTTCTCTGTGAAATTCTCATACAGCGCAAGCTTTATAAAATCGAACCCATTGGGAGCACTCAAATTTCCTTTAGCAAGACCCATGCATAAGCAAGACAATGCGCAGCACTTGATGGCATAGGTGTAAGCTGGTTCTCTTACTATCTTGCATATATTACCAAATTTGGAAATTTTCTCATATTGCAAGCCTGAGAACCAAATATGGACATTTTCTAAGCTGTTATACGCTGTTCAGCAACTCCAAATGAACTTCAACCGCTATCATTCCACTAAATACAGATACAAGACATAATTCTTTTCTGCATACAACTAGATCATTTCATTAAATAGTAAAATAAATTCTTCATACTAAATAAAGAGTGTTGTATAGAGACAGTTCTTTTAAAATACTCTCTACGTATCAATGTTAATCACTCCTCTTCTTCGATGCTTCGTTGTATTTTTTTCTCTGTCCCACAAGGCTTCCTGTCTTCCATGTAGCTCCCACTTAAAGGGAAGTTCGCTCTTTTAAATTCCATGATTTTTACCCGGAGAAGATTAGCTTAGATCTTTCGCCGGCAGAGATCGCCTCAAACTCAGCCGAGGCTATTATTCACCCCGGGTGAACGGCTATCAACTCACCCGGCCTTCATCACAGATTAAATCGAGCTCATCTAGATCAATGTGCATCTCATTCCATTCTCCGTGTAACCTAACGGTTGCTGGAATACTCTTTTAAACAGTACTTGAAATGTACGTAAATTATTGGTAGTTTCTTGTTTTAAAGACATTTATAACACATGATACTACCTGACTCTTTCTGCATTGACCTGGAATCAAAATTAGGCTTAATCGACTGTTAAATAATAAAGGCTAAATGAAGAATTGAAAGAAGTTGCCCAAGTTTTTTTCTTTAGATGAAAAGCCATTAAACGGAACATGCAGCCCTTCAACAAGAGATTTTGTAATACAAGTCTATTCTAGTATCTTCTAAATGGCATGAGGCCTTTATTTAAAAAGTCTCATTTGCCAACACGCTAATAAAGTTCTTCAAAATCAGTAACTGTACTGGAATCCATTAAACAAAAATTTTCAAAATTGTTTCCGTTAAGGGCGAGATTTAGATTTAGAAATATACGTTAATTTCGATGGAGCTCATGTATAATATTTTTTAAGTTTCTTGAATGGCACCGAAATCAGGAATTCATTGGAGCAGCGTGACGTGTGCCAAGAGGATCAGGGAGTCCTTGGAGCAGCGTGACGTGTGCCAGGAGGATCAGGGAGTCCTTGGAGCAGCGTGACGTGTGCCAGGAGGATCAGGGAGTCCTTGGAGCAGCGTGACGTGTGCATTGCAGTGCCAAGAAAGGGTTGCAGTGCCAAGAAAGGGTTGCGGTGCCAAGAAAGGGTTGCAGTGCCAAGAAAGGGTTGCAGTGCCAAGAAAGGGCAGCAGTGCCAAGAAAGGGTCGCAGCGCCAAGAAAGGGTTACAGTGTCAAGAAAAGGCAGCATGGAGTTGTCTTTATTGCCAGGAGTTGGAAAAGGAATTTTTTGACCGGAAACTGAATTACCAAATAAAAAAAAAAGTGGCCGTATTCGTAATTTTTTAGTTGACCTAAAATTCCACGTCAACATGTTACATGATTCGCATTGAAAAACCCGTATCATTTGAGGTGAATAATAAAAATATAATATTATTGGATTGTGAGCATTTACCAAAAGTTATATTCGTCGCTGTTCTGCAATGGCACACGTATTTTTCCGCACTAATAGGAATTATGAAATTAAACAAACGTACAATGCGCATACCAAATATCTCTTCGAATAGTTTAAATTGAAAAGAGAGTAAATAGATACATTTTGATGCTAATTTAATATAATTGTTCGATATATACACACATTCGTGCTCATATTACATAATGGAAACTTCAAAGACGCATAATTAGATCCTATTTCTTTATTCATGCCATATATAAAATAAAGACAGTAATTATCTTGATCATAATTTTCGAAATAATCATACAACGCGACATAAATAATTTGTTAAATTAAGTTAGGCCCAAATACCATTCGCAGCACAATATTGTTTACAAGTTTATACATTATTTGTAAGTTTATTAATAATTCTCATCCGTAATGGCAGGATAACCGGAGCGCTGAGTTTGCTCGATTAAAATACAATCGTATGATAACTTTCAAAAATATTTCCGTCCTAATATAAAAGAAAAAATAATATAAAGAAAAGAAACAGCGAAAATGAGGAAAAAGAAACAACTGCTATCACTTGAAAATTTTTTAATCCAGATTAATATTTTTTATGGCAATAATATCGGTTAGTATCAATTACAGGGTAATTATAGGCTTTTGTTCAGTCCGTTAGTAGGCAGTGTCAAAATTTCAAATTGAGGAAAATAACGCAAAAAAGTATGAATTCCTCTAGATTCTTATTACAGGTAATGTGGTAGAAAATTCGCTAGATACATGCTATATATAATTAATGTGGTTGAAATCGTCAGTGGTGAGATCTTCTAAATTATAAGTTAACAAAGAGAGCGCTTGCGTGACCATGGCCGTGAAGTGACGTGCGTTTTGAGCGACCTGAGATCTTACTTATTTAACATTATTGACTGTACATTGACTAAGCTCTGGACTGTTGACTGGACTGTACATTGACTGAGTTCTGGACTGTCGATTGTACATTGGCTGATCTCTGGACTGTCGATTGTACATTGGCTGAGCTCTGGACTGTTGACTGTACATTGACTAAGCTCGGGACTGTTGACTGGACTGTACATTTGCTTAGTTCTGGACTGTCAATTGTACATTAGCTGAGCTCTGGACTGCTGACTGTACATTGACTAAGCTCTGGACTGTTGGTTGTACATTGGCTGAGCTCTGGACTGCTGACTGTACATTGACTAAGCTCTGGACTTTCGACTGTACATTGGCTGAGCTCTGGACTTTCGACTGTACATTGGCTGAGCTCTGGACTGTTGACTGCATATTGGCTGAGCTCTGGACTGTTGCCTGAACATTGACTGAGCTCTGGACTTTCGACTGTACATTGGCTGAGCTCTGGACTTTCGACTGTACATTGGCTGAGCTCTAGACTGTTGATTGTACATTGGCTGAGCTGTGGACTGTTGACTGTAAATTGGCTGAGCTCTGGAATGTTGACTGTACATGTACAAAACTCTAGACTATTTACTGTTCATGTATGTAACTTTGCGAACTATCATTGGGGAAAAAAAGTTGACCTTATCTCTAAAAAAAGCAAAACTAAGGGTCAGTTTAAATAAGGCTTTTGCAATGGTTGGACAACTACTTGGAACCTCTATAGCAGAACTTAGGGTCAGTTTAAATGAGGCTTTTACAATTGTGAGACAACTACTTGGAACCTCAAAGATTCAGAATTATTATAAAAGCACAGTAGCTCCTCATACAGAGTAGCAATTTGGCCGAGCCTAAAATAGGCCTGTTTTGGCGCAGCTCAGAAGTATAAAAAAAGTAAGCTGGAGGCTCCGCTCAGCCACCGCTCCAGGGCAGAAGCCCTCTGATCGATGAGCCTTCACCTGCTCACTCCGGCGTGACCAATGCAACGCGATTCGTAACAAACCTTCGCTCTTGGACAAATTTAGCACAAGATTCTTTTAAATCCTGTTGAGTGGCTCTGATGTTTTAAAGATGACACCGGATAAGTGATGACCCCCATTGTCAATGCATTCAGTTCGTCGATTTATGAAGTTCCATTCAACTCGTTCAACGCGATGAAGCATTGAAGGGTATGTTGGCGATGGCTTGGCAGATGTTGTTTTTCGAATGAGGTAGGGTCCTTGGACAGTCATTCTAAACAATTGATTTAGGATAACCCCATAAATCCACTTGCCCTAAGTATGTTCACCCACTTAACAATCGATTTCCGACTAGGAACGGAACCTAAAGGACGAATACGGAACCGAGTACGGAATGCTCGTTGAGCGATAATGGAAGTGCCATTAAAAAAGTACGCCTCGACAGCAAACGCACGCAGCTCACTTGTCCAATGTATAGTGGCAATTAACTAGGCGGGATGCAAAACTTCATGACCTTGCCTTACATATGAAATGCTCCCGCTCTTTTCCTACAACATCTGGCTGCTTGGCGCAAAAAAGCAGGAAGTTTCCGTGAATCACCCACAGTTCCTAACACTTGGTTTCATTGAAGATTCCACAACCTGTTCGTACAAGCAAGAACCAAGGGCTTGGTCCCATAACAGATTCTACCACCTGTTTGTACAAGCAGTACCCAAAACATGATTTAATTACAGATTACATCATCTGCTTCGTAATTAAGTACCTAACACCTTGTTTCCCTCAGGTTCAGCCATCAGATGTTGGGATTGCAACAGCAAGTTCGATCCCCGATGTGGGCACGGCCATTTCGACAATCACACCCTCGAGACTGTCGACTGCGACCAAATTTCTTACACTCACCTCGGCAACGCGAAAGCCAAGTACTGCCGGAAGGTTATACAGTACAGTGAGTTCTATGGCATGTTGTTGTATTTTAGAAATATATTTCCGTAATACTTTATCAGTTTTAATTGTTATTTATATGAAGGCTACTTGCTTTGGGTCGGCGAAAGCGGTCTGAGGGTGCGGGGAATCGGTGAAAAAAGGTATAAACTTGAAGACTAGCAGCTTGCGATAAGTTTTGGAATATTGACACCTTTTACTTTTAGAAAAATTTTAAAATTTTGATAATACCCAGACTATACTGAAAAGCCGAACTTGACATATATATAAATAGGAGATACATTTAACACTCCTTCCTAGTCTGTATTACGTTAATTTACAATAATTTCATGTTCCAGAAAAGGTTTCGGAAATTCATTTAATCCAATTAACACATGCAGAAGTACAAAATCTCATTAATAATTGCTAGGGCATCGTTAACTATTATCCCGGTTTTCAGTCGAAGGCACGGAGCGCACCATCAGAAGTTGCGGATGGCTGGATGACGCGCGGGCCATCACACACGATGGGTGCTACAGCCGTACAGGCACCAAAGACATCATGATAACATTCTGCACCTGCGAGGCTGACAGCTGTAACTCAGCTCCTCGTCGTCAAACAACAGCTGTATGGAGTTCGCTCGTCCTTACCTTCGTAAACAGCTTCTTAACCCTTACTCGTGTCGGGTAAAATAGCAGTCAGCGAAGTGGACAGGGAAGGACAAGCGTTTTGCGGGAGAATCTAGAAAAAATACTCTACTTAATCAACCATATATTTAGCTTCCCCTATAGGCCTTACTGTTGACGTAATTCGATTTTTTTTAAGCAACGAACACTGCCAGGAACTCCAACAATATTTGTCAAATCAAAATTCACATTAGGCGGTTACAGTGTTTTCAAAATCATGAAATTCTTCAATAGTTCATAACTTGCGGAGTAATCTTATAAGCCTGTCCGTATTTACAGCATTGTTATCTTAATGGCAACCACAATATTTACACCAACGTATTTACTATTCTAGTTTTATCTTATCGTGTGAGACTATTTGGGTTGCATTTTTCGCTTAGTTTCTCTATGAATTAAGAATTCTATAGTTCATAAAAAATCAACTTCGTTATTTATTTAGACTGTGCACCAAATTTGACTGGTATTGTTCTACTATCGTAAAATAATAAATTGAGACGTCAATCGGAGTAGGTTTCAGTGAATTTTTTAATGTTAGAGGATTTTTGCAAGTAATTATATATTGATGCAAACATGTCAGAGTGGGGGAATTGCTACTGAAATGTATTGAATTTAAAATCACATACCTAGCGGCGATAGATTGCGCTTGAGGTATATACGAGTGTGTGTAGAATCCGTGAAAAAAGGGGTTTAAAACTTTAAGATTAGCAGCTTATAAAAAATTTTTGGAATATTGGCTCGCGTTAGTTATATGAAAAATGATGAGGCTAAATAAGGCTAGAATTTACCATTACCAGAGTTAGGACTCTACATTACCAGAGTTTATATACGCTTGACTGCATAATACTGTAGTATGATGTAGATAGCGGCGAATATATTAGGTCACATGTGCGTGACACTTCATAAGTTAGTGAGAAATAACTTGGCCAGCCAGAAATGTTAACTAGAAAACAGCTCAATATTCATTTAGCAGTGAGTGAGATGTACCGTTGCCAACACAGTATCTCTTGATCTAGCAAATCAACACTGAATCAACGACTTATTTGTATTATTTAACATGTGTTCAATTTTGGGGCTCAATGCAACTCTTTGATTATTAACGAGAAATTAAATATGATAATTGAATGTTATAATTCAACGTTAATGTTCTAATTGGACGTTAATGTTCCAATTGGACGTTGAAGTTCCAATTGAACGTTAATGTTCTAATTGGATGTTAATGTTCTAATTGGACGTTAATGTTCTAATTTGACGTTAATGTTCCAATTGGACGTTAATGTTCTAATTGGACGTTAATGTTCCAATTGGACGTTAATGTTCTAATTGGACGTTAATGTTCTAATTGGAAGTCAATGTTCTAATTGGACGTTAATGTTCTAATTGGAAGTCAATGTTCTAATTGGACGTTAATGTTCTAATTGGTTGTTCTATTACGATGTATCTCACGCGTTTACGACTGACAAGAAGCGGTCACATGAATGTTGCACTGCCCTGGAAAAATATGAAGAGTGTCACAATTAATAGGAAGACATGCGAGGTAAAGCACTGATAACACCCGTGTGAAGTGCTTATACTCTCAGAGAAATGAATGGGACTTTGTCCAAAATATCGATGCAGTTTTTGCTATTGCGTGGGTCATCGTGACCCAGTTTGGCCCGACAAAAGTGCGTATTAGAGCTACATCCTCTCCCTGCTAATGATGTGAGTAAAAAATATAACTCAGTACTCACTGCAGTGAGTGACAGAGAGCGCATTTTCTCGACGACGAAAACGTGAAGTCACGGACGGACAGACATGACGAGCACAATAGCGCCTTTTTTCCAAAATGAGAAAATACGCTAAAAAGTGTTTCAATACCTGGACAATTTGACCCATTCATGTATCTGAAAGTAGCTCACTCAATTAAATATTCCTTCCACACACACACACTTTATTACTGACGTTGTTTCACCATAGCTTCAAGTCAGGCAGCTATAGTGTACTATACCCACGTGTAAATAGTGTCAAGTGTTTTGATTCCAGTTTGAATTATTCAATCGTTATGTACAAACTTTGTGTGCTGTCATATCAGTTGTTCAGATGTAAGGAGTCGTTTGAATGCTATAAACCTGGATTTATCAGATAATTTCTCGATCTTATTGATGACAAATATGTAAAAAATATCAATGACTGTTGCGGGCAATAGATATTATTGACAACATCATTGAAGTGCATTCTATTTTTGTTATTAATTCATTTTTTTATATCTATTGACCCGCATTCCTTCAATCATACATTTTACCGTAAAAAAATCTTTATCTTGTCTTTTATCTTCTCTCATTTTATCAGAACTTAGAAGAAAATTACTCAGTAAGCCGTCAATCTTTTGCCATTGTGTTCATTAACAATAAACATGGTTCATTATATTTTCCGTGTAGGATTTCTCACCCAAATGAATTATTTGTCGTATAAGAGAAACGTATGTTGATTCTTATGCCCACGACAAATGTATGTGATTCTTATGCTTATGTATGTTGATTCTTATGCTCACTAAGAAAAATTAGTGAGAAATTGTCCAAATAGCAAAACATTTTTATTGGCCCGGCTGGCCATATATATAGTGACCCGTTTCGGCTCAGCTAAACAGTGTATCAATGATACATGCAGAAAGTGTGTTACCATTTGGACAACATGATAAATTAATTTTTCTGAGTATTTATTGGAAATTTTGATGTTTTATTATGTTATAATAATTTTTTATATTAATTTTATTATGTTTTTTTTATAATTTGGATGTTGTACAAAGATGGTGAGCTCTTTCGTATATTGATTGAACATTAATTTGAAATTAGTAATATAACACAATTCAACATACCGCTTCAGAAAAAGCTATTTCTTGTATATTGAAATTATAACTGTTATTATGTACAGGGAAACCATGCAAATATGCTAACGATCATCATAATGTACCATTTTTCAACTTACATGGTCTTTTTTTCATTATTAATTGTTATAAAACATGTAACAATTACACTATTTTCATGTCCCTTGTAATAAATCAACGTGGCATTGTTATCAAAAGGAAAACGTCTGTCCAAATCTTCGTTGTTTGGATCTGCGTTTACTTGTCATGTGGGAACAGCGTTGGAATTACTGAATATTATTCTGAATATTGTTCGTTTCGTGTTCATATTTAAATAATATCGCTTCTAATGCTCGAGCCTTACTCAATTGGTGAGATGTAAAGTTATCATCTTCCACTGGTATGTGCATGTACTTTAGCTCCTGTTACACTCATTCAAATGAGCGGGTCATTGTCTAAATAGCGATACATTATTTGCACTGCTATGTGTCATCCTGACACAATTCAGCCTCACCAAAAAGAGTTCATCAGTGCTACGTTAGCTGTGTGCTCGTGTGTGTTTAAAAAGTGGGTTAGAATTTGGACAGTTTGACCCACTCATTTTCCGAGCGTACTTTAAAGCGTGGAAGTTGTAAAGTTTGTTGCTGTAACTCACAGTAAGCTATTGTGCTCATAGACTCCTTGAAAAACGCCTTATGAGAAAGCATGTGCTGGTGTAGTAACCTTGTTTATGGACCAAGCCTCTTAACCACTACCACTATCTTCACTCATTTATGGACATATGACATTTATTCGCCATTTTATTGTTAGATATATTTCATTTATTCACTATGACACTAGTTGACATACAATAATTACTCATATTTTCACTCTAGACATACAACATTCATTCATGATTTCATTCGTGGGTATATAACATTTACTCACAATGTCACTCGCTTACCTTCGAAAATGTATGGCAAAACCTCCGTTGTACGTAAATTATTCATTTTACACTGCCATTAACGAGCCATTTGTCCTGTTTGATTTGCTTTCTCTTGAAATATATCCACTTAAAAAAGATTAGAGAAGCTTCCCCTATAAATATTTTTCACCAAAAATACGAACCGAATTACTTCTAAAATGTCTTCATAGTATTTTGAATATTGAAAAATCAATTAGATGAATGCCTTAATAATTATATTTACACACAAATTTTAAATTATAAATATTGGTAAAATTTATCAAAAGAACAAAAATAACTTATTTCAAATAAGTTATTTGACCATTGCCCTAATGTAACTCCATCTTCAATCACTTCAGAAAAGTTCAACTGAATGCGACTGATGAAAAAAAGACTGTTGGGAAAGCAATTAACTACAACATAGATGGCAGGTTATTTTGGAAAATGTTTATCATAGTGTACAAAGTTACCCAAAAGACCGTACACGTATAACGTTATTACACGGAAGAGTTAGAAACATCGTTCAACATATACACCATAGCACAAGGCCAGGTCCAACGAGGTTGTTACGCCTGTAGCTGCATTGTAGTAAAGCTTCTATACCTTATATCGAGAATAAATCTACTGTTAACTAGACTTAAGATATAGAAATTTAATAACCTGCCGACGACTGCAGCCTGTTATTACTGCAAAAAATCTTCGAACGCTAAACATGGGTTGAATGGCTTCCGCAAATGGGACGCGAGAATTGAGACTCGGTAACTAAGAAGCAGTTTATAGGTTCCGACATTCAGTGTTCCAGGATTTTTCCACGAATTTCATCAATCAAGATGATCTATGGTGTATACATTGCTTGCCTTATCACGTTGTTAACCTGGAAAGCATGTTGACCTTCTTTGCTGGATTTTTGCGAGTAGGTCTGAACAAAATGATTATGCAGGGTGGTTCACGGAAACTTCCTGATTTGAAAGCTGAATAAAGAAAGGGTTAGTAAAGATATCATTACAATATATATTTTAATGAAAAATACATTACCTGAATTTTTGTAACATTTAATTTCAAAGATGATATTGGACAAATGGTGGCCCCCATTGTCAATGCATTCAGTTAGTCGATTTTTGAAGTTCTATTCAACTCGCTGAAGCATGTTGACGGGTATGATGACAATGGCTTGGCGTATGTTGTTGAGTCCTTGGAAGTCATTGTAAATTGATTGTCATTGATTTAAGATGAACATAATAAAAAAATCACACAGAGCCAAATCAGGGGATCGGGCAAGCCAAAGAAGGTCACCTCGCAATTAAGGTGATGAGGCACTCTGCGAATGTTGTTTTGCTTCAGATGGAGACAACTCTGCAAAACGGCCACTAGAAAAGTACGCCTCGACAGCAAATGCACGCTGCTGACTTGTCCAATGCATAATGGCAAGTGACCAGGCGGGACATAAAACGTCAGGACTTTGACTTTCATATGAAATACTCTTCGCATTTTTCCTATATAATATCTGGCTGCTTGGCGTGAAATTCAAAAAGGTAGTTTTCGTGTATCACCCTGTATAATGAATTTATTCTCAGATGGGGTGTGAAATTAGCAAGATCTGAAGTGAATAGGCGCCTTGCAAAAAGCAGTGTTAAGTACCTTAATGAAAATAAACTCGTCCAGTCGTATATTGGCAATTCTCGAGTTGAGGTGTCGTGAATAAAAATGTGAAGAACAGGAATTGTAGAAATCATGTA